TTTTCCAGTTTCAAACGGAATAAAGGAAATGGAGAAAACTGCCGTTTTTCCGTTTTTCTTTTGCTCACGAGAAAACGAAAAAACAAGATTTTGGCTGGATTTTCGTTTTTTGGTTTAGGGTAGGAAAACGGATAAACGACTTTAAAATTCATTTTACACATGTAGGCGGTGCTGAAACGCCCACTTTCCTCTAATTGGTCAACCAAATCTGCGCTCGTGACGTCACCCTCAAAATAAAAGCCTTACACGCAGGCTTTTAATTATTATTATTTAATTATATATATATTAACTAAGTTTACAGATTCTATCATTTGAACCACACACATTTAGCAGGCTTACATTCATTGCGTATGTATAAATTAAATAAAAACGTAAATCAGCAGTATTCTTAGACATTTGTCATTAAAATAAGGTCATAGTTCACTGCCAAGCTTCTTGCTGCTGTGCACCTGATGCAGAGCAAAGATAGCCATTTCCGAGCAGCACCTGGTTTGCATGATTGTTTCAGAGCAAGGGCTTTATAATAATAATAATAATAATAATAATAATAATAATAATAATTATTATTATTATTATTATTATTATTATTATTATTATCAGTTACTAGTGTTTTTATTGTTTGGTGTGTTTTTTTTCTTTTTAATAGTTGTTAGCAGAACCCGAATAAGAACACTTTGGGCCCTGCTATAAAAACAAAGGGTACCATTTGTTTTCATTTATTTCTTCCTATTTTAATTATATATTGTAATTATTTATTTGATAATTAATACTATTTTATTGCAACGCCAAAGTAGGCCTGTCTTATTATTATTTTTTTTAATTAAATTTGCTGTTATTGTAGGCTAGATGGCAGGCTTTAAATATTTTAAATAACATTTACTCATAACCTTACTAATTCGAGAGCCGAACCTAAAAAAGTTTAAGTGCAATAAGCCTGTACAATAAAGGGAGCCGCAATGCATATTTCTAGCGCATTCTTTCACTCAACAATTATTGCTGGAATAATGACATAAATTTCAAATTAACTAATTAAACACATTATAGTTGATAAAAAAATTGTGTCTAGTAGTTCCGACAAACAGATGAGCTCGCTACATGTGCGTTGCGCTAATAATTTGACATTTGCTCTTCTTGAGAAAGTGCTACAGCGGGCCCTGCTATTTCACATATAAGGTTAGTGATACGTATTTTAAATTAGTATTGCACATTATTCATTCATTTTCTTGTCGGCTTAGTCCCTTTATTAATCTGGGGTCGCCACAGCGGAATGAACCGCCAACTTATTTAGCAAGTTTTTATGCAGCGGATGCCCTTCCAGCCACAACCCATCTCTGGGAAACATCCACACATACACACACACTTATACAGTACGGACAATTTAGCCTACCCAATTCACCTGTACCGCATGTCTTTTTACTGTGGGGAAAACCGGAGCACCCGGAGGAAACCCACGCGAACGCACTACACTACTGAATTAGACACACAATCTCAAAAAAAAACTTGATGCTTATTTACATTATCTAAAGTCATTTCTTACGAGGTAGGATCTGTTGTTGTATTATATATTTTCGTTTTAATATGCAAATAATTTTCTTTAATTTGTAATAGGTCCCTCATTGCATAAAATAACCAGCCTTTGTATTCAATATGTTTGTAAATTGTCCATCCAGTTTGACGCAAGCTAAACAACATTTTGGCCTGTTTTGCTTATTAAATGAGTGATTTTCACGGAGAAACAAATCATCCATCCACACAGTTTTGTATAGGACCTGTGTGAACAAAAATATACACTTCATTATAGCCTATAGGAAAATGTATCTGTTTAGAACCAATTTTGTGTTGTATAATTAAAAATATTAAAAATACAATAATAAAAAAAAGGAATAACATTTGAAGTGCAATGCTTCAAAGATCCAATACGCTGCATGCAGAGCCAAAACAAAAACTGGTTTGTTTGTTTAATAAAATAATAATATGAAATTAAAGTGAAATAGTTCCATAACCTGTATTATAACTGTAGTCACTCTAGATGACAAATCATCCGTTGCGCCGGTCAGTTTCACCTTTAATCAAGAATGTGCCAGAACCAAATGAGAATATTTACAGATTACCTCGGAATGAGATCTCGGTCTGTGAAGAATGCAGAACACAGAAACTCGTTGAGAATGGAGATGCATGTTAGATGTTTTATATCCCTTTAGATATTGTAAATAAACAACTAGTTTTTATAGAGATTGTGTCATGTCTTTTCTTTGACGCACGCGCTGAACAGCCTGTAGCCTAAATAATAGTTTAGATTTTATAACATATAATGTTTTATTACTTTAAATGTATAATGTTTTTTAATATTTATGGAATATATAAAATATATAGTTTATATAAATGCGCTCTGATCATTCAAGGATCATAATGCGTTGCATATTCTTCTTATTCTTCATTAGGCTTGATCCGTAAATTGTGTATTTTATAAACTGATCGTTTATAAGGATTAAGCTATTAATAACTGTAATTCCTCGAATGGAAAAGTCTTGATTAAAGAAAAAGAGAACTTAATTCGACATATGCATATAGTGCGCTTATTTCTGCGCGCATCGCGCGCTTTACCGAATTACCTTTTTTATTTTTATGCACTATAAATGCATCTGGCAGCACCGAAAAGAGCAAATGCCAAGTTATTAGCGCAGCGCACAGACAGCTAGCTCGTCTAGTCTGAACCAGGGGTTTTCAAACTATTCATTGCACACCGATCCCATTGCATTTTATTTAGGATAAACCACTTATTTAAAATTAATTAATTAAAAGGTGCGTACTCTCCAATACACCACTGTAGTGTCATAATATTTAATAATTATAATTAAGATAGACACCTGACCTCCATTTAATAAACAATTTATTTGCCATACTCTGTTAATTTGAAGTTTAAAGTTTAAATCATTTATGTTAAACTTAAATTATTTAAAAACTTAAAAAGACTTACATTTAGTCATTTAAGACATTTTAGGTCATAAGTTTACATACATTGACCGTTGCATTTAGTAGGCCTATTCTGGTCTAAATAAGCTTTTTGCATCTTAGGTGTTTACACACACAAATTAAGCAGTTTATACGTACATTTAATGTTACTTTGAAATTACTTTTGATGCAATAAATAATCCTAAATAGTTGAAAGTGTTAACATATTCTTGAAATGTAGTTATTTTATAACTATGAAATTTATTACTAAACAAAGTGAATCATTATGAATTTGCCAAGAAATAATCCACTTTACCACCGTAAAGCAATGCCCCACACTCACTAGAACGGTAGAACCTGGACTGTATGATATGTTCTGTATGTAAAATAGAGAAAATAAGCAAGATGCGCAGTCTCATGTAGCCTTAGTGAAATATAGCGCGTCACAGCAATGAACTAAAAATAAAACCACCCTTGAAATGCTGGCGATCTTAATTTTTTCAGCCTACACTGACTGAGAATAATGTTGCACTATTTAATTAACAAATAATTAGAATGTTTTTTTTTTCCTTCAACACATTCATCATTACTTTTGCCTGTGCAAGTTTTTTTGCGCGTGCTTGAGTGCGAAGGCATCTATTTTCAGGTGCAAGATGCCACTTTGGGTGGCACCAGCACACTCTGCCACACCTGTGGCTATGTCCCTGCTACAATAATAATAACAACAACAACGACAAAATAATAACAAAAAATAATAATAATAAGACAGGCCTACTTTGACGTTGCAATAAAAAAGTATTAATTATCAAATAAATATTTACAATAGGCTAAAGGCACATATTAAATTAAAATAGGAGAAAATCCAATAGAAACAGGTACCATTTATTATAGCCCCATGCAGGGTCCATTGTGTTCTTACAACCATTAAATAACTAAGTAAATAATAATAATAACAATACTGCTAATAATAGGCCTAATAATAATAATAATAATAATAATAATAATAATAATAATAATAATAAATTATTATTTTATACAGAGTAGGCTATTATTTAGGCCTACAATAGCTCTGAAACAATCATGTAAACCAGGTGCTGCTCGGAAATGGCTATCTTTGCTCTGCATCAGGTGCACAGCAGCAAGAAGCTTGGCAGTGAACTATGACCTTATTTTAATGACAAATGTCTAAGAATACTGCTGATTTACGTTTTTATTTAATTTATACATACGCAATGAATGTAAGCCTGCTAAATGTGTGTGGTTCAAATGATAGAATCTGTAAACTTAGTTAATATATATATAATTAAATAATAATAATTAAAAGCCTGCGTGTAAGGCTTTTATTTTGAGGGTGACGTCACGAGCGCAGATTTGGTTGACCAATTAGAGGAAAGTGGGCGTTTCAGCACCGCCTACATGTGTAAAATGAATTTTAAAGTCGTTTATCCGTTTTCCTACCCTAAACCAAAAAACGAAAATCCAGCCAAAATCTTGTTTTTTCGTTTTCTCGTGAGCAAAAGAAAAACGGAAAAACGGCAGTTTTCTCCATTTCCTTTATTCCGTTTGAAACTGGAAAAAAAATGAACAAAATGTACACGGACCATTTTTTGACTCATTATTTCGTTTTGGTTTTGTGTTTGTTTTAATATTTCGTTTTAAGTTAATAAGCAGAATAACAGATGAGTTTCCGTTTTTTCTGCCTACAGAATAAACAGAAAAACGAAATATTCATCGTTTTTCTGATGTTTCGTTTTCCGTAATAAAAGGAATAATCAAATGAACGGATGATACACGGACCCTGTTCTCGGATGACAAAAACTGATTAGTAACTTAGAGTGCGTGAAGCAAACGTTTCCCAGAAAAATCATGTTAGCTTAGCAATGCCACTCTGTTGTAAACAAAGACACATACCTTCCCTTAAATCAGGTATTGTCAATATTCCGTCATGGTCAACTCTGAAATAAACTATTGTGTTTAAAAATAACAGTGTGTAGACAGAATTACCTGAAAATGTGGTTTCTTGTTATAGACTTCAGCTTATCCGACAGTGACTTCCTGTTGGGACCGGAAGCAGAGCAGTGACATCAGAGTGACGCAGAGGTCAGAAACCCTCTCTCACAGCCATCTTGGATCCTGTGCCCTGAACTAGTGAGTACTCCTGCGTAAAATCTATTGTCATCCAACGTTGCTTTAGCCAATTCAATACATAATTTGTAGCTTATGCTGATGCTTTAGTGTAGCTGTGTTTGGAATGGTAAAGATTTGTAAATTTGCTTGGCTTATTGAGGAAATATGTTGATGATTACAACTGGCTGACTGTTCAAAATGGGGGAGCGAGACGCACCACCGCTCGCTATACTTCAGCCGTGGGCTTTGTGTCTAACGAAAATGTTAACCCTGCAAAAAGTTGCACTATATACAACTATAGCGATATATTGTGAGAAATCTGTAATTTAATCGTACGAAAGGTTGTTGCGTGACGTGCGACAATAAACACTGGCTGGATAGTTAACTTCGCTGCCTAAACATGTAACGTTTCTAAAAACGCATGCTGTGTCAACAGTATAACCTAACGTTACATTATAAAGGATTATAAACTCATTTCTTTAAAAAAGTTTTATTGTAATTTGTGTAATGAGGTTCTTTCATTCAGCAGTAACGTGTCAGAGCTCCTCTGTTAAGATACACACGTGAAATGTGCAACACAGTGCACGCGCACACATGAACAGTGTGTGGAACTGTTTGGGGACGTTATAAGCCTTATTTGTTCAGTTTGCCTGTTTGCAATTGATAAAGCTCACAAATTCTGTTCGGTGGCCTTGTGAAATGTTATCATGTAGCTCAATACTTTGAGACAACAGCAGTGTTTAACTGAGCCGGTAGTGGGACAGCTGACAGCCAGCAGAGGCCTACAGGAAGAGGCCTAGAGTGCTGCTGTTTCAATAGAAAAAGCCTCATTAACACAAAGCACTGACTAACGCATGTCTAAACCTTCATGCAGACTTTGTAAAGCTTATAATGTATTGTTTCTCATTTCTGTTTTAGTCCAGAATGCCAGGCGAAGCCACAGAAACTGTCCCTGTTACAGAGCAGGAGATGCAGCAGCCCCAGGCTGAGACGGGTTAGTACTGCTTTTAAAAGTGCATGTCTGATACTAAACACTGGTTGTCTAGGTGGTCCTGGAAATATTGTTTATTGTACTGGTTATTATCAAAATGTTGCTTATTCTATTCAGGGTGTTTTTGCACCTGTTTTAGCCTTTCTTCAGGTTTCTTTTAGGGTCTTCTCGCAGCTGTTGTAGAGATTTCGCATAACAAGTTTCTCTAGTCAGAGTGGTGTAGGGTGGGGATACAGTTGAGTCAGTTTTTCTCCTCCTAGAGGTTTTAGGTTAATGTGCTTGAGCTACTCCCTGAATAAAAAAACACAAATTACTAGTCCGTTTAAAGGCAGGGCTCTGTACTAACTTTTGAGAGCAGTGCCGCCAAGTTCTACAAATGAAGGCTTTAGTATCACGGGTTCAAAATATAATAGGATTGCATTTTTTGTCTCAGAAATGTAGTTAACTGTAGATTGAGGTAAACAGTATACATGCATGTTAAATGACAAATTCATGAAAACCCACAGGATTTAGCCACTCTGCTATGATAAAACAAGCTAATTTAAAAATATTTTGTTTCTGTGGTATATGTAAAAAAATATATATATATTTGTTTATAGACTTAAACTAATTAAAATTATGTGCACAATAACATTGTTTATATGAAAACTTGAAATATGACAAAAAGTTACTTGGATTCTTATTAAACTTGCAATAAAAACACACTGGTATAAATGCACAAACATTAGCCTGTGCTTTTAATCTTTTAATACTTTAATATAAATGTACATTAAATATAATGTATAATATATTGTATAATACTATACAATTCTGTATGTGTATGCCATTTTCTGCCAAAAATATAACATTAAGTTAATACCGTTACATTTGAGTTATAAGTAAATACATGGATGATTTACTTGTTTCACAGTGTTTCTCCTGTTTCACTTGTCTTTGCTTTTGACAGTATAACCTGAGCCTGAAGCCCTGTTTTTAAAGGGTTGCTTGGACTATATTCATGTAATAAAAAAAAAACTGGCCATCAATTTTCATTATAGGGCAATTCTGCTGTATGTTATCGATTTAATTGTTTTTCAAAGTTTATTTTGTTTCAGAAAATAGTCACATTAGTTTAAAAGATCATTTAACTCCATTGACCTTTTATTTGAATGAAAATGCTACATCACAAGGAAATGGAAGATCATTTTGTTTTTTAAGTAATCCAGGACCACCTTGGTCAACAGTTGGTTTCTCTGTACAGTAAATCGAAGTCTAACGGTTTGTGTGAATGGAGTATGGACATTGCAACCCAGCATGATTTTCCTAACTTTGCACTGATTTTAGTAATCATGACTCAAACAGTTGTTACTCCTAGGATATTGTGTTAGGTTAGAAAGTGTACTGTTTGGTTCAGGGATTGTTCAAAAAATGCAATTGTTTTGGCAAGATCTTTCCTTTTTTTGTTTTAGGAACATGAACATATATTTCAGATTGTATACAAGGAACAACAGCTTTTGTCCAAAGTGTGGGGTGCAACAGGCATTTTACATTTGGAAGTTGATAGGTTTGTGAAGTCAACTTCTAAGTGTACAAACACTTTAGGATGCTACCATTTATGATAAGCTAAAGTTATGACTACAAGCCAGTGAAATTAACCATGAACTGGCATATGTGTTATAGTAAACAAACCATGTAGTTTAATATAATTGTTTTAGCTTACTAATTCAAGTGAAAATAGTTTGTACCCAGAAAGATAGTGTTTTTTTGTTTTGTTTCTTTGGTGCTTTGTTTTTAAGATGTATGCATTTGAACCTTTTTAGAACATGTACTGTATATATCAATATTAGTGTTTCCAAAAGAACCAGTACTTCAGTACCAAATGGCTTCTAAAGAAAAAAATTAACACTTCCATGTTTTCTTATATACTGGTACAGAGGGCCTAGTCCGGTACCATAAGTGAAAGCTGCTAATGCTGCTAACGAGACTGCCCTGAATCTACTTGTTGTTTAAAAAAGGAAAGCCACAATATCAACAATTAATATCTCTTTCATTCTGTACTCAAATGTGGAGCAATGAAACCCATAAACACTTGCCTATTGCTCCCAAACATGTCTTTTAGATGCAGATATAGCCTAAGCTAAATTTTAAATGTAGTCTAATAAACATATTGTAAACTTCCTTCAGCATGCACATTTGGCAGCATAAACCACAGAACATTTGTATTTATTTAGTTATCACATGCTAGCACTGTTGAAAGAGTAAGTTTGAAGTCAGAGTGAATTTTCTAGCATGTGCTCAGTTTTTTTTTTTTTTTTTTTTTTTTAAGTCATACTGTTTTGTTATGCGTGCTTCTATATACATAAAACAATCCCTTAAGTTTAAAATGATGACTTGTATAGCCAAAAATAACACCTAATAAGTATTTGTTTAAGCTTCATTTTGATGGTCTTTGATGGAACTGAAACATGCGTGAGTTTCTTTTAGTCTCATATTTTAGTTACGCTACACTGCTGAAATGCCCAGGCTATAATTTCCAGTTAATCCTTGGCTTGTTATAAGACCAGCGTATCTATATTACAGATTGTATTAATTCTAACTAATTGTATTATTGTACTATAACTACTATTTAGCCTTTTTCTAATTTAATTTCTTATATTGGGCCTATGATAAAGCACCTTCTGACTAATTAAATACCATAGATGTTGTTTCTCTTCATAAACAATTTTGATTTATTTTTGTTCATACTTTTTTGTTGCACTTAGTTGTAGAGAACTATATTTTCACTTATTTTGGTATCCACCCTAATTGGATTTCGATGTGATGATCATCTTTGCACTGTTTACTGACAATTGTGTAGATTTTTGCATGTGTAGTTGATTGGTGTTTTTAGTTTCTCAATTTTTCTAACAAGATTTGGTCTGTTTGATTTTGCTTTGGTAGCCAGTTGTGCATTTGAGGAGCATTTTAACACTTGTGCAACTAAAAGCATCCTTTGTAACCAGCATGGGTGTGATGGATTACACCATGCAACTTTTTAATTGCCAAAAAGTCACTCTAGCCCTTTTATTTCCATTAGCCACACCTGCTGCTGCAGCCCCTGCCCCCTCTCAGGCAAAGTCTAAAGATGGCAAAACTAACCCTAAACTGTCCTCATCTCCTCATACCACTGCTCCTAAGCCAGTTCCTGCAGGACGCAGGAAACGCTCTTCTCTGTCTGCTTCCTCAAGCTCTCCTACTTCTCCTAAATCTGCCTCCGGCCCTCGTGCTACCCCTCCATGCTCTCCTTTAGCCTCTCCTCCTGCTGACTCTCCTTTAGCTGGGAAAACTGAGCAAACTGCTCCCAAGGTGGTAAAGGCTGGCAAACAAGGGAAGCAACAAAAAGCAAAGAATTTTAAACCTGCCGAACAAGAGCAGGTGCCTTCCTCTACTTCCAAGCTTGCTCAAGAGTGTGCAGCTCTGCCAGTTCTTGCTATACCAGAGGTAGCAAAACCAGCAGGTACTGCAGATGCTATCCCTGTCTCTCCCAAAATTGCTGTGGCTCCTGTGGCATTTAAAGTAACTTCCAAAGCTGCTGCCCCAGCACCAAAATCGTTTACAGAAGCTGTTGCTTCTAGTCCACCCAAAGTGTCTGAAGCTGCAAAGGCACCAAGCACTGCTGTTTCAGAAACTAAAACTACTTCACCAAAAGCACCTACTAAGCCGGGCCCAGCCCAGCCAAATGCCCCAGCCACTGCTACTCTTCCAAAGCCTGCTCCTTTGGCAACATTTGAGGACGATGATCTGCCACCTCTCCTTCCACCTGAGAATCCTTTTACAGTGCCTGCTTTCCCCCCCTTGCCACCTACTACTATAACTGTTGAATCTGTCCCTAAAGCAAAAGCAGCTCCTAAAGCTAAGCCAGCTTCTAAAGTTGAACCTGTCCCCACCCCTAAAGGTGCCACCACTCCGGTAGAGAAAGTAGCAATAGCCTCTAAAATTGAGGCTGCACCAAAAGTTGAGCCCTTCCAAATCACTAAACCTCAGGCTCCCACTAAAAATGAGGCTGCTGCACCTAAAGTTAAGTCTGCTTCAGCTCCTAAACCTGAGCCCGTTCCTGCCCCTAAACCTGAGGTTCCAACTAAGAAAGAGGTTGCTGCTGCTGCACCTCAAGCTAAGGCTGCCCCAAGTCCAAAAGCGGAGCCTGTTTCTGCCCTTAAACCTGAGGCTCCTGCTAAGAAAGAGGCTGCTGCACCTAAAGCTAAGCCTGTCCCAGCTTCTAAAGCTGAGCCTGTTTCTGCCCCCAAACCTGAGGCTCCCGTTAAGATTGAGGCTGCTGCACCTAAAGCTAAGACTGCACCAGCTCCTAAAGCTGAGCCAGTTCCTGCCCCCAAACCTGAGGCTCCCGTTAAGATTGAGGCTGCTGCACCTAAAGCTAAGACTGCACCAGCTCCTAAAGCTGAGCCAGTTCCTGCCCCCAAACCTGAGGCTCCCGTTAAGATTGAGGCTGCTGCACCTAAAGCTAAGGCTGCACCTGCTCCTAAAGCTGAGCCGGTTCTTGCCCCCAAACCTGAAGCTCCCGTTAAGATTGAGGCTGCTGCACCTAAAGCTAAGGCTGCACCTGCTCCTAAAGCTGAGCCTGTTCCTGCCTCCAAACCTGAGGCTCCAGTTAAGAGCGAGTCTGCTGCACTCAAACCCAAGGCTGCTCCAGCTTCCAAAGCTGAGCTTGTTTCTGCCCCCAAACCTGAGGCTCCAGTTAAGAATGAAGCTGCTGCACCTAAAATTAAGGCTGCACCAGCTCCTAAGGCTGAGGTGGCTGTTAAGACTGAGGCTGCTGCTGCCGCCCCTAAAGCCAAGGCTGCCCCAAGCCCTAAAGCTGAGGCTGCTGCTGCTGCTGCACCTAAAGCAAAGTCTGTCTCTAGCCCCAAACCTGAGCCTGTTTTTGCCCCTAATGTTGAGACTTTTGCATCTAAAGTTAAATCTACCCCTGGCCCTAAAGAGAAGGCTGCTCTTGCCCCTAAAATTGATGCTGCTGCTGCGGTTATCAAATCTGAGCCTGTTTCTGCCCCTCTAATTGAGGCTGCTCCTACACCTAAAGTCAAGTCTAGTTCTAAAGATAAGCCTGCTCCTGCCCCTAAAGTGGAGGCTGCTCATGTCCTGAAACCTGAGTCTGTTCCTGCCTCTAAGATTGATGCTGCTCCTGCCTCTAAAGTTAAGACTGTTGCTGGTCCTAAAGCTGAGACGGTGACTTCTACTAAAGTTGAGGCTTCTAAAACTGAAGCTACCCCTAAAGTTGAAACCACTGCTCCAAAAGCTGAAAAAAATGTTCCTAAATCTAAGGCTGCTCCTGCCACTAAAGTTGAGGCTGCTCCAGCACCTAAAGTTGAGGCTGCTTCTGCCCCTAAAGTCAGGCCTCCACCTAAAGTTGAGCAATCCCCTACCAGTAAAGCTGAGCCTGTCCCTGCTGCTAAAATTGACAAAGCCCCTGTTCCCAAACCAGTAAAAGTCTCATCCATACTGGAGCCAGTCATCAAGAACGACACGGGTATCTCTCTTTCTGTTTGTCTGTCTTTCTACTTTTATGTTGGTATATCTTAGACTTTGAGTGACAATAAAGATTTACTTGGGTGCCTTTCAGAAAGTTAAAGCATAGGGCCTGTAATAATTGGGTATTGAGTTTATCAGCATAATTAATTTTTGTTATTGTCAAAGTGAGTTTTGTACTTTGTATACTGACTTTTTGGTGTCCATCTTGTATCAGTGTATAAAAGCATTTGTGAAATTTAAGCACTGTAAAAATTATTTACAATTCATTGCATTTGAACATTTAGATGTGTTTTATCTTGATGCTGGTAAAAATGTTCTGTTGTTCTAATGGTAAATTAACCGTGCATTTGCTTGGTTTAGGGTCTGGAACCGAATCTGACAGTGATGAATCTGTTCCTGACCTGGAGGAGGGAGACTCTGCACAGACACAAACACAGCAGGCACAGGTAAGATGCCTTTCTTTTAGCCCTAATTTGTTTACACTTTTTTTTTTTTTTTCTTGTCATGAACTAAAATTACATTCCTACCCTGTAGCTTGCAGCTGCAGCCGAAATCGATGAGGAACCTGTTAGCAAAGCAAAACAAAGCAGAAGTGAGAAAAAAGCTCGCAAGGTAGGACTTTCTTGGACACCAGTTGAATCTAATTACAATGCATGTACAGTTGTTTAACTGTATCCTTTCTTTGCCAGGCTATGTCCAAACTGGGGTTGAGACAAGTTGCCGGTGTTACCAGGGTAACCATTCGCAAATCCAAGAACATTCTCTTTGTCATCACCAAACCAGATGTCTACAAAAGTCCGGCTTCAGATACATACATCGTCTTCGGCGAGGCCAAGGTAAAAATTAGAGTAAAAAAACAAAGCATTTATATAAGGATAGGGCGGGCTTTCCTGCACTATCAATGGTTAATTTAATTTGCAGACCTTTCATGGTGATCCTGCGTGACCTCTTGATGATGATTTGACAATTTGACTTTCGTTCTTCTGAGTCTGATGAAGCCAAATTTTGTCCTGAAAGAGAGAAAACACTGTGGTGTTCGAAGCATGGCAAAACTCACAAAATAAAGTAAAATACACATGATTTCTGTTTTCAGATTGAAGACCTTTCCCAGCAAGCTCAGTTAGCAGCTGCAGAGAAGTTCAAGGTTCAAGGAGAAGCAGTTTCAAACATCCAAGAAAACACACAGACGCCCACAGTACAGGAGGAGAGCGAAGAGGAAGAGGTGAGCTTTGATGCTGTGGTGATTCTTGCACTGAGTTATAATGCACAAAATGTCTTGTTTTAGAAAGTTTAAATGTCCACATCCATTGAGTGATTTTGCCTGACCTTTTGCAGGTTGATGAGACCGGAGTGGAGGTCAAGGACATTGAGCTGGTCATGTCACAGGCCAATGTATCCAGGGCGAAGGCTGTGCGCGCACTGAAAAATAACAACAACGACATTGTCAATGCTATTATGGTGAGTTAAAATCTTAAAATTAAATAAATTAAACTCTTCTATGATGAATAAACTTTTGACTTTCGTTCTTCTGAGTTTGTCCTGAAGCCAGTTTATTTGTTCTGAGAAAAGCTCAAGCTTGAAATAAGTTATCGTCATAGAAAGGAATCATACTTAATAATTTTTTGTTAATTCTCTTCACAGGAATTGACGATGTAGATGGACATCAGGGACTGGGTCACATTAAGATGATGCTGATTTGATCTACACTATTGTTTGTACAATTTATACCCAAGAGAAATAAAGGAGTGGCTTGATAATGTTATTGTATTGTATTGTGTATTTTTTTCCTAGTCATTGAAATTGTTTATTGTATAGTAAATTCGATCTGAGAGGCGGCTTAAAATGAACTGCATAAAGCAGCAGGAAGTAAAGAAACTTTTTCTAAGGGTGAACCTTTTTTACTTTGTAATAAAACATGAAGTTATTTAAAATAAGGATTGTGATGACTTCTCTATGCTGTGTAAGATTAAATATTAAAAATATTATTTATAATTGGGAGCTGGGCCCTCACATTTGCTGTAGACCCGTTTTTCTGGCAAAATGAAGATTTTTTTTTTTGTAACTTATTTTGAAGACGCAAAAGCGAAAAGCAGCAGTCCCAGTGATGTCATAACCTTATTTCTTAGGCTGTTTCTCAATTCCAGAAAGCAGAGAACGGACTTGCCAGGTGTACTCGGAAGAACTCGGGAGACCGCGAGGGCAGAGAACGCGTCCTTTGAGAAATGAGATGCTGCGTTTTTCCTGAGGGTCACATAACCTTCACGTGTTTTAAATGGTAAATAATTTAAACAGTACAGCATTCATACAACATGTTATTGTTTTTACCCTTTTCAAAATATATACTGTGCATAAAAACGTTTTAAATATACTTGCACAATATAAATAAAACGGATTTTAATGCGAATTTCAGCAAAAGATGTTCATGGTTTTGTTTAACCGTTTCATTTATGGAAACTCCAGTGGTAAAGAAATGATATCTCTGAACTTTTTTAATAATAAATTAAATAAAATGCTGCGCTTCCTACCTCTAGTCGCAATGACGTCTGAGACTATCAGAGCGAGTTCGGTGCTCAAGTCTGCATAGGTGTGTCCTCTATCCAAATCACGGGGTTGTGACATTTGATTTTCTTTTGGCGCTTCATATAGATCAGCAGGTGTCGCTATTTTAAAAGATAAGTTTTTAGGGAAGACAATAACTCAAATCGGATGAAAATGGATTTGGATCATTCTACTTGTTGAAATAAACAAGCTACAATTTATTATTGTAAATATCTATGCCACCAACAATAAAAAAATAAATGGATTACTTTTTCAAGATATTGAAGGTCATATTAATAACTTAACTTGCAATTAAAATTCCCTTCAGCTGAAGTTATTTGGGGTGGTGACTTTAACACTATTTTTTAATGAACAACAAGATAGATTGCCCCCGAAAGTTGACTATAGTGCAAATGAATTAAGCAACGTATGTTTAAGGTTAAATATAGTTGACATTTGGAGGTATAAGAATAAAAATTCCTTAGCATATACTTGGTCTAATAGGGACGGATCTCTCCAATCCTCTCCAATCTCCAATCGTTTTGACTTTTGGCTTATATCAGAGTATGAAAGAAAAAGTAGAATTTGTAAATATTGAACCATCTGTTTTAACTGAACACAAGGGCATATCAATAAAAAATAGCATTTTAGGCCGTCAGTCAGACAGGGTTAAGAGGGGATACTGGAAATTTAACAATAACTTACTGAAATGTAAAGAATTTGGAGCTCAAATTAAAACATTAATTATTACATATTGAAAACAGGCAAGTATGACCCAAATGTATGGAAAATACTGGGAACAAACTAAATTTGAAATAAGAAAACTCATTATATCCTATATGGAAAGTCTATTGCAAAAGGGTAAAAAAGAAAACGAAAACAAGAATTTTTTTAATTTATTCTATTATGTGCAGAAATAACCAAGATATGTTAAGCAATGATGTATTAAAACTTCCAGCATTGCAGAAAGATCTAGACAATATTTATGAAGAAAAAGCAAAAGGTGCATTTGTTAGGTCAAGAAAAAAATGGATGGAAGCCGGAGAAAAGAATACTAAATATTTTTTCAGCTTAGATAAAAAGGAATCAGGAAATTTCATCTGTTAACAAATTAATAATAAATCTATCAATGAGAATACTTAGGAGATTTCTACCTATGTGTATTAATTTTATTGTAAATTATATAGTTCCTTTAATCAACCCACTAATAAAGAACTTTTCCTTAGCAGTTTATCAGAAACTACCAATAAAATTGACACTGATTTTAGAAATCCATGTGATGAAGATTTAAATATAGTGGAAGTAATAGATTGTATAAATAGTCTCAAAGAAAATAAATCTCCTGGAAGTGATGGGTTGACAGGGGAATTTTATAAAACTTTCGATAATATTCTTGCACCTTTTTTACTTGCTGTTTTTAAAGAATCAATTATAATTGGAGAGCTTCCAGCTTCACTAAAACAAGGAGTAATTACACTAATACCAAAATCTAACAAAGACAAATTGTACTTGGAAAATTGGAGACCAATTGTTTGTTAAACAATGATACCAAAATTTACTCTCTGATATTGGCCAAAAGAATTTAAAAAATCTTTAAATATGATAATTAAGAACAATCAGGCTTTCTGAAGGGACGGTTTATTGGAAATAGCATTAGATTAATTCTTGACCTAACTGACTATAACCATTTTATACTAGATGACAGTTTAATATTATTTATCGACTTTTATAAAGCATTTAATATTATTGAACACTTATGTTCAAAGTTATTGAATTTTTTTTTTTTTTATAATAACCCTTTATAATGGTTGCAATAGCTCAGTCCAATCATCTCATGGAAGTTGTCCAAGGTTTAAAATGAGCCGTGGGATAAGGCAAGGATGCCCTATTTGGCCTTTTCTTATTTTATTAGTTTCACAAGTAATGGCTACTCGTATTAAAAAAGCAAATTTTCAAGGTATTTCAGTGTTTGACAAAGAAATAAAACTCAGTCAATTAGCTGATGACACAATTTTTGTAAAAAAAAAAAATAGTAAAAAAGTGAAGTGTTTTTAATTGTATTGAGGAATTTACTGAGGTCTCTGGATTAAAGATGAATAAGAGTAAATCTATTTTATTTGCTCTTAAAGACTGTCCCTTAAAAGAAGTTAGTGGTATTCCAGTAAAAGACACTAACACACCTCGCTGTAATAATATGCAAGGATTTGAAACAAAGAAATGAACTATTTTAAGCCCACCATTGAAAAGATCAAAAACAGATATAATATGTGGTTAATGAGAGATCTGTCCTTACATGGTCGTGTGTTGCTATCTAAAGCGGAAAGAATTTCAAGGTCTGTATACATATTATTCTCAATGGAAACTTCGAAAAATGTTGTTAAGGAATTGGATAAAACTCTTTATGATTTTATTTGGTGTAAAAGGTTCACTATTTAAAAAAAGATATTTTAAATAACAGCAAAGACTTCGGAGGCCTTGAAGTGTTCAATTTTACAGATCTCAATGAGGTATTTAAGATAAAAATGGATAATTGAATACATTAAAAATAAAGAAACTTTGTGGCATATCTTTTCGAATTTTATATTTAACTCTTTGTGTGGCATAAATTTTCTTTTAAAATGTAATTTCTCTATTGATAAAATCCCTATTAAATTGGCAAGTTTTCATAAGCAGGCATTGTTGGCTTGGCAGTTGGTCTATAAACATAATTTTACACCTCATCGATATTTTCTGTGGAATAAAAAAGATATCTTGTACAAAAGGAAGTCTATATTTATTCAATCATGGTATGACAATGGAAAATTTACAGTCAGTCAATTACTTGATGAACATGGATTGCTTTAGTCTTACTCGGAATTCCTTAAAAAATTAAAGTTCCTGTAAAATCAAAAGACCATGCTGTTATTTTTGATGCAATACCAAGTAAAGTTGTATCACTGTTGTGTAATTCAATATACAATGTGGACCAACAGCCAAAGACAAGTGATGATGGTTTATATATTGGTGATATTAACATTGTTAAAGATAAATGTAGTAATAGATATATTAGAAATGTATTTTAAAAAGAATCGAATCCCATCACCAACAGTCTTTTGGTCATCAAAATTTGGAAACATTGAGTGGAAAAAAGTATGGTTACTAATAAAATAAATGTTTTATAAGTAATAAAGTAAGACAGGTATCAGTTAAAATTTTACACAGAATTTATACTGTAAAAGAATTCTTTGAACAGTTTGGAGTTAATAGAGAACTTTTGTGATTTTTGTGGTATTATTAAAGAAACTGTTACTCATCTGTTTTATAATGTGTGTACTCACGATTATTTTGGAGTGATGTTTCTAACTTTATTTCAAGGACATTTGGTACACCAATACAAATTGGGTTATATGATGTCATATTTGCTTTTGTATAAGATGGTATTGATTCAAAAACATGTTTTCTTATACAACTAATAATAATACTTGGAAAATACCATATTCATGCCAAGAAATGGGCCAAAGCTAAGCCAAATTGTGCTCATTTTATAATAGAGATTAAACAATATGGTACATTGTGTAACATTAAAAACAGAAAAGCTAAAAAAAAAACGTATGAGGCATTATGTAAATTTCAATTGATTGAATAATTTGTATTATTATTATTATTATCTTACCTATTTATTTTTCAACCCATGTCATCTGCTTATACTTTGTATAACTGAAATAATTTATTTCCTTTTATTTTATAAATTTTTTATTATGTTCATAACTGCTGTGAGATGTATTCTCTTGTTTTATGTTTGTAAATACTACAAATAAATAAATAAATAAAATAAATAAATAAATATTAAGATCACATCCGGGAAGTTTCACGCGTCCAGCTGATGATGACGTTGCACGAGGACGCATGACCGCTGAGAACGCATATAGAAACACAGCCCAGTGTTTGGATGATAAAATGCCTTGATTGCCTTCAACTGCTTTTACAGCACAATAAACGTTGAATTGTTTCCTGCGTTTATGTTTACATTTACGTTAGCTGGTAAATTAAACAGCAAGTTTTTAATGAGTATGAGTTAATAAATGTGTTGTGTAAGTTCTTAGATAACGTTAGCTAGCATACATGCGTGCCTATTCTGTCAGATCTACAAGCTGCAATGGTTTTTAATTAAATTGATGTTTTTGCTTATGTCAATTAGTAAAGCTGAGATGGTTCTCGGGATACATTTGGCTGGGGTTTTAAGATGTGTTGGCACCAGAACGAGTGTGAACTTACGGCGACTGTTCAACTCTCATGACGGAGGACGCGAATCTATAAAGGTGAGAAAATCACTTATGGATTCTCACTCAGCCTTGCATATGAGCAATTCCAGCCTTATGGATTTGACATTGGCAGTAAAAGTTCAAAACAAATTAACAGAAAGTTAACGTTATAATGAAACAACGGTTTATATTAACCAAAACAACTAACCACAGACTTGTGGGGTCAGAAAAATATCAATTTGTAACACATTGTTTTTTATTTTAAATGAAGAAAACAAACAAGTTTACAGTATACAAGAAACTTTGAAGTAAACTACAATCTAAAAAAAAAAAAAACTATGCTAATCAAAAGGATAAGGGTTGGCTCACTACAGAACAAAAATAATTTATATTCTTTAACACTTTTGCATTTATGAGGAAAAAGCTTAGTTATGGATGTGACGTGGCAATGACACTCGTGTGACTTTTTCTAAATCAACTTCCATAGTTCTATAGTTCCATAGTTCTGGAATAACTTCCATAGAAAACATTAATAGAGACATTTTTATTTTTTTATTTATTTTTTTATTTTGTATTTTTTAAGCACTACAAAATGCTTGCACCAAAAGAATGGTTTCACTGTTCTGTTTAACTTTTTCATGGCAAGGTTGACATTTGCGTGAAATTGCTCATGTATTGCATTCTACTAAATGTTTCAATATAAAGGAAAATGTGGTAACAATTGTGAAAATAACAGTAATATTCAAAACTTGAAACTAACTCTTTAAGAAGTTGCTAAACGGTGGGGTTGAAGGTCTCACAATAGTCTGCGAATTAAGTTTATTCAAATATCCGCCCACTTTCCAATTTAAAAGGTAATCACTGCTAGTGATCCAGTTGGAGGACAAAATTCAAACCAAAGTGTGTTTGATAAAAGTCCAAATATATTTTTAATATTTACTTAATAGATTTAAAGTTATGATTTTTTTTTTTTTGACATCTGAAGGCATATGTTACAATGTGTCCCAAGCTGACCTATACACTAAACAGGCAACATTTTGTTTGAATGTATATTATAACTCAAACAATATTATGGGCATGTCAAAGCATTTGCCAAGTATCTCTTCTGGGTCAAGATGAACCTGAATATATTATGGTGGTAAAATTTCATTATACTAGACAACTAACAATGAACCTAATTCATGAAAAGTCAAATGCTTGCATATTTGGATTATAATTTCAAGAATGAAGATCCAAAAACCCAGTGAACCTCGAAGTATCAGTATAAACATGTATATCTAAAGTATCATGTCCATTTTGTGTCACAGGTGCTGTATGATGGAAAATGCCCAATTTGTGTTAAGGAAATTAGCTTTCTTCAGTTTCTTCAAAGAAAAAGAGCAGACAAAGTGGATTTTGTAGACATCTCACTGGCAGAATATGACGAGAGCAAATATGGAGTCAGTTATGAGATGGCAATGAAGGAAATGACAGTGATCGACAAGAATAACAAGGTGATGGATATGTTTCTACCCTTTAATCATGTGAAATATTTAAGTTCATAAGTTTGCTCATATTTAGCGAGTTTTGAATCTAGAACATTTAGAAACATCTGTATGGTCTATTCGAGAAACTTAAAAAAAAACCTGATCAAATATATAATATTCCTCACGTTTCTGTTTGTTCTTTTGAGGACAGATTCACCATGGTGTGCCAGCATTTACAGTGATGTACAGCGCGGTTGGTTTGGGTTGGCTTGGCAGATTCCTGTCTTTTCCACTGATTAGGCCTGTAGTGGATCAAGCCTATGGGGTGTTTGCACGGAATAGACTGAAGTGGACAGGCAGAGAGAACTGCACCACTGGACGCTGTGTTAAAAAAGAGACATAAGGGACAGAGAACTTTGCAATGGCCTTCACACTGTGTATGCATTGTTAGCAACAAGCACAGACTGATTATTTTGCTTCATAAAATCTCATTGTATCACATGGAGCCATGTATATTTATTTATTATTTGATTTTGCCCTTATATATTTTGTTTACTCTAAAAGCGCCGGTACCATTTGAGAAGGAGCAAGGACCACCGTTTCATTAATAGAATTCATTCAATTGAATGCTCTATTGAGGGAAAAGTGAATCATGTCATTAACAGAATTAACAGATCATTATTTTTTTGAGTGAACAATTTCTTTAATGTCATAAAGTTAGAACTATAATGTTTTCTATTATTAAGTTGTCATATATATATAAATATGTATATACACACACTTTTTAAGTATTTAAATAAACTTTACATTTAAATAGACTTTAAATAAATTATATTTAAATAAACATTAATGACTAAATAACTGTTTATAGGCTAAATTATTTACACCGAGTAATAACGTCACTATTGACATTTTGAACATCTCTGAGAGGGGCGCTTTTTCTAATTTTAGATGCCTCCTGACTAGTCATCAACTTTTAGGATGTGGTAGGACAGGTTGTGCTTTAATGAGGAATGGCCAGGGGTTTGGTAAGTGCTGCTTTAAACTGGCCAATAGGCTTTGTACCTCGGTAGGGCGGGATTAAAAATCACAACAGAAGGAAGTGTAAACACCACAAGAAGTAATGCATAAGAATACACGAGCAATATAAGTGTTATGGAAAGAAACTGAGCATTATTTATAACTTTGAAGTCAAGTTCAGGAGCAGAGGAGAAAGTTAAAGGTAAGACAAACTATCTTTATTTAGCCAGAGAGTTAGAAGTCAACTTCAAGGTTACATATGGTTTGATGAATTGGATTTATACTTGACCTTCTATCTTAATAGAAAATATAGCAATGTATTAAAAATGTACAGTCTATTTTTAAAAGTATTTTTAGTGTTGTAGTTGCCTAAAAGCATACAACTAACAACATTTTATGACCTGGAATTAAATAAACTTTAAATAAAATGAAAATATATACTCATCAGCTATAGTTATAGCTAGTTGGCAAGGAAATCTGTCTAATTTTCATTTGGTATAATTTTAAAATAAAATGAATATTAATGTTAACTAAAATTCAATTAAACTATATAGACATTTAAAAACACTTATTACAATACATATAAAATTAGAACGAGTTAATACAAGCTACAAGTGTGATAAATTATTTTTGTTTTGCATTTTTTAAAGATCTCTTTACAACTTAATGACATGTTTCTATCAGTATTAAATGTAACACTGCATAAAAGTCTGATTTCCTAATGTTAATAGAAATGCACATCCTCAAACAAACAAAAAAACGTACTTTATTGGATATTGACGGTATCTTCAAATGCAGTTATAAATAAATGCTCATTAGCAAGTGTAATTAGCCAATGCTTGCAAATAATATTAGGGCTCAACATTATCTACTACAAAAATATGTTTCACATTTAATTAGTGTGGTTATAATTTATAATTTAATGATTTGCCTGCAATATTTACTGAAGTTTGTATAGAATTTTCAGCTGCCACATGCCAACCTTGTCACGATACATTAAAAGTTAATATTTTACAAACTAAACAAATTGTAAGGAAGAGGGCAGTCATTGGTTTAATGGTAGTTTTTTTATGATATATGCAATTTTAAATGGAGGACTAGGCTAGAGGATTTCACGTGACCAAGTGAAGCACGTGGAAACATGTTGTGTATCTGTGTGTACACAATGTGACCGTCTGTGTCAGTCCTCAGACCACAACAAAGACAAGAGGCAAAGAGTTTTTCCTCTGTCTGCCATGTGTCCAACGCTATAAATATCAAAAGAGTTCTGGTGCTTCATGGAACTACAAAACGGTATTTTTCTGACCTATGTTGACAGTTTCGTGTCTCACAGTTCTAAGCATAGATTATCTTGTTCACAGAATGGCTTGACATTCTGTCATATTACAATATTACTGTCAGTTGGATACCATGTGAATTGAATTGACTCTGACTTTATATAATATTTATGCTATTTATTAGATTTGTTGAGAACATTATTATTAGAAAACTAATTTGACAGTTTTTTAGAGGATAATTTGCAAATCCATTATTAACGCCATAAAATGTGACAATAATTACATTATGAAATGAGTCAATAAATAAAAGAGACATGTATACATTTTAATGTTTTTTTTTTAATAATAAATTATTTACGTCATTATGTATTTTAGGATGAAAATGGGTTTTAGTAATTTAATACAGCTTTACATTATAATTAGCTAATTAATTATTCAATCATAATATATTATTTGTGCATTAAAAATACTCTTTTCTTATTTATTAATATGTTTAATGGGAAAAATATGAATATTATTTACCATAAGAAGATATCATTAAAATTTGAGTCAGGGTAACATGTTTATTGACCAAAAAATCCTATCAGGCATATCCAAAAATCTTTGTTTGAGATGTTCAAAGACAAAAAAATTATCATTTGAAATCTTTATTTTATTTTAAACCACTAGTATTTTTCAATTTGTCAGTAATATATTTTAGTAATTCAAATTCAAATACAAATTAGTGTGATCACTTCCCCTTCTACATATTTCTATAAGGCTACACGCTATGTTGTTTCATGTTTGCATAAATATATGTTATACAGAACAACAGTGTAACATTATTTCTCCCATATTTTTTGCATTTTATTATCAAAAAAATATTTAAACCATCAAAGTAAACACTTTCCATTAATATTTTTCCATGTATACAAAACCATATTTATTCAATTAATTTGGAGACCAAAATAGGACAGCTCATCTTCATATAACCAGCAGGGGGCGCCCAAACATAAATCAACATTAAACACTTTTGGGTCCATATGCAGTAGTCAATATTTGAAGTGGTTCAAAACCTTTCATTTAAATTGTCCCAAAACTATTGAACAACACCCATTCTTGTTCTTAGGTTCTAAAAAACTATTCTGATCCACTTCAAAAGTTAACTTCTGTAGACTTACCTGTTTGTAGAATTTAACCTAATATTTTCCTTAAATTTTTTAAGGACCGAAAATCAATGAATAAATGTAAAATACACCTTTTCTCTAGTGCTCAATTTTGTTTTCATGTTTATATAGACATCCCGCGACTGTGATTTTTTTGCCAAAGCTTATCTCCTTCTCATTCAGATCATCTACTCTGGACTTTGTTGTTTTTGTCTCCTCACCCATGGATTGGTACGTCATCAAAACTAGAGTCTCTCACCTGGGCTCAAGAAAACTCCAGTTACTGTGTAAAGTGAAATATTTACTCACAAACATAAGAAATGTACCTCACTTTGTCAGGAGGCCTCATAGGTCATGTAGCTTCTTCTCTTCACCTCAATCTTCAAGGAGAATCTCTCTGAAATCTCACAGATCAATGAATACTGTCAAACTCTTAGGAGCCATTACTAGTAATATGAAATATGAGAACAAACTAGGTCCTCAGATGTACAGATGTTACTCAACCTCCAACAGAGAGACATTCAAAGCAGAAGCACCCATTGGAGTTTACCAGAATGGCAGGACTGCTTTTCAGCTGGATGTATTCGGAGTGAGATTAGGAGAGTCTTATAATCGTCTATCTAGGCATGTTAACTTGTATTTCAGGCAGAAACGGGTATCAGTGATGGATTATGAGCAGGATGAATCACTAACCAGACCACCGAGACGAGTTCAGAGAGACAGATGCTCTGGAGAGAGCATAGAGCAGGTTCAAGAAGCTTATCCTGGACTACAGCTCTTCCACATCAGCTCCTTAGCCAATCGATTTGGGGAAAGTTACAGCTATGTGGCCAATCACATTAACACCGTGTTTTCACCAAAGCAAACTCACATTAACGTATCGCCAGATGAAGGCTTCAGAAAGTCTAGAATGAGTATGGAAAGAGTAGTTATGAGTAGTAAAAGTGTTATTCATGAGGAAGCTACCCAGAGATTGAAACCACCGATTGATGACAATATATGTAGTTCATGGGAAGAAGGATACCTTCACTTTGCCCGTCACATCAATCGATACTTTGGAGCAAAAGTAACCGATAGAGGACATCAGATGCCACATACCAAGACAAACACCCAGAAGACTTCTGATTCTAAAACAAAAGACCATACTCCAATTCTTCATCCAAAATCTCCAGGCTTGTTCCACATGAGCAGCCTCACCACACGCTTTGGGGAAAACTACACTCATATGGCCAAACACATCAACCAGTACTTCAATGGTTCTGCAGCCTCAGAGAATGACCAGCTAGATGGAGAGCTGGAACATTACAGACGTTCACCCAAGCTCATCCAGAATAAATCAGTGTCCTTTCTTGATTGTCTTTTGAATCCCTCGACTATACCTGGCTTTGTGGGCAGCTACCTGGGTATGAGCTCTGGCCGGCGAATTGACCAAACCAAAACAATGACAAGAACAGCAGAGGAAATGCTGGATACAACAGTAAGTCATCTATGTCAGTCTATGGCAGACTGGTTTAAGGCAGAAGTGTCAAAGCCAGATCCTGGAGGGCCCGAGCTCTGCACAGTTTAATTCTAACTCTAATTAAACACACCTGATTAAACTAATTGAATCCTTCAAGCTTGTTTGAAACCTGCAGATAAGTGTGTTGAAGCAGGGTTGGAACTAAACTGTGCAGGCTGTGGCCCTCCAGGAACTGGCTTTGACACCTGTTGTTTTAAGGCATACACTCTTAAAAATAAAGGTTCTTAACTGGTGTTGATGGCTTCAAAATAGTTCTTCTGTCTACAGCCACACTACAAAGACCTTCTTTTGGAACCTTTATTTTAAAGATCGAAGTTTGCTTATAAGATGCAAAGTCAGTATAATAGCGTGTTACTTGCTCTTTCTTTGAAGTTATTTGTACATTTTGCAAACAGTTCCTACGTGTCTATACTGGTTTGCCCTTACAAATCATGGCTTCCCAATCATCTCAATCCACTGACCTGGTTCTATCTGTGTCTCTCCACTCCATCAATAGCTGGTGTGTGGTGAGCGCACTGGTGCATTGTCCTGTGGCTGCCGTCAAAATATCCAATTGGATGCTGCATACAGGTGGTGGTGTGGAGAGACCCCCCTCATGATTGTGAAGCACTTTGGATGTATGGCCATACACAATAAATGCGCTTTATAAACATACATTACTTACTTAAAAATAGAGCTTCTTAATTATCACTGATGGTTCCATAAAGGAACATTAACATCCATAGAACCTTTTAATTCCCCAAATGTTCTTTTAAATGATTACAGTTTTACTCACACTAAGAAAAAATACTTAATTTAAGACTTAACTCTTCATTAAAAAAAGATTTTTGTGGGAACCAAAATGGCTCTTCTATTAGATTACTGCAGAAGTTTTTGAAATCTTTATTTTTAATCTGTATTTTCAAATCAGTTGGATTACTTTAAGGATCTCTTTTCTAGGTTTTGAGGAGGAGGAAAGCAGACGAGATGACTAGAGTTCTACTGAACAAGCTGGAAAAAGCTACGGTAACATCAAACATCACTTCTTGCGTAGAGGAACTGAATGCTCACCTTATTCAGCACCCGGCAAGCAAAGCTGTGGTGTGGCAGGTAACACATAAATCCATTTTCAAATATAAAACTGTACATTTAACTGATTGAAGCTGTTAATTGCTTCTTTGAAATACAGGAAAAAGCAGCACTACTGCTCCTTAGCCATCGACGCATCTTTTGGATGAATGAAAATCTTCAAGAAGCCATTAGGGAAACTCTGGCTCTGATTGGTTACGTGGACCCTGTCAAAGGATGTGGGGTTAAAGTGCTTTCCATTGATGGAGGAGGAACCAAGTATGATTAATGAATTTAATAAACATACTAAAGAAATATGACTCCAAGATGGCTTTAACTTACAACTGTTTTCTTTATCGCAGAGGGTTGGTTCCATTGCAAGTGTTAAAAAATCTAGAGGCTCGAACGGGAAAACAAGTGTATCAGCTATTTGACTACATATGTGGAGTCAGCACAGGTGATAATGCACAACCTGCATTGCAAAGTAATACAGACCATATAAATATATAATACTATTCAAAGATTGATAGTGATATAGTTCACCCAATCAATTCTGCCATCATAAAGTTCTGTGAAACACATAATAAGATATTTATAGGAAACTGTTAACCACTGACTTTCATAGTTTTTTTTATACATTGGATTTCAATGGCTACTTGTCTTCAACATCATTTAGAATATCTTCCTGTGGTAAATAAAATAAGGAAACTTCTAAAGGTTTGATACCGCTTGAGAATAAGTAAAGTATGTTTAAACATTGTGCAACACTGAGTGTGCTTTATGCATGTGAGTGGGCTTGACAAACCACCTGTAGGAGACACTTTTTCCTCTCCTTATGCACCAGAAACATGGAAAAAAATGATTCCTTGGATTTACTTTTTTTTTTAAGGGAAAGTGATCGTAAACAATTTATTTGAGCTGAATTTAAACAAACAAATTAAGTTGAACATTACTAAATAAAGTCAGTGGGCTTGACAAACCACCTGTTGGACAGGGGTTCCCAAACTTTTTAGCCTGCAACCCTCAAAATAACAATGCCAGTGACTCGTGACCCCCAATATTCTCTGAGGTGGTTATAAATATATAAACCTTGCGCACTACAATGCACACATACCTATAGGCCTATTCGTTATTTCATCATCAGTTCATTCATCATTTAATTTTGGAGAATCTACTCAGAGCCACTCAGAACGTTTAACCTGGTGCCATAAAATCAATGTGCTGCATCTGACGCTATTGCTGTGTCTTTAATATAACGTCGACCTAATCACCCCAGGGCTCACAAAAATATCAAAAGGATCATGGCTTTTTATTTGCATGTTGTTTTGTAACAATGTTGCTATTAACTACCAACTACAATTCTAATAGTTTAATAAAATTAATTCGATTTTTAAAAATCGTCAAGCGACCCCCCTGTTTTTTTGCGATGATGACCACATGAATTAATATTATGTGGTGCATATATATATAAATTATATAATATAATCTGCATTTGTTGCACAGGAGCGGTTCTGGCTTTCTTGTTGGGTCTATCTCGTATCTCGTTAGATGAATGCGAAGAGATGTATCATCGATTTGGAACAGATGTTTTTCGGCAAAACCCCCTTGTTGGTACAGTGAAAATGGGCTGGACGCACTCTTACTACAACACTGAAACATGGGAGAGGATCTTAAGGTTGTATTTACACACTCGGTACAAGCAGAAACTGAATACTGTATTAAAGCCTGTAATGATCTCTTAACTATTCATTTGCGAATCACAGAGAAAAGATGGGGGAAGACATTTTAATTAAAACTGCAAGAGATGTGCTGAGCCCAAAGGTGAGAAGCATTTGACTTTTTCTAACTCTGTTATGTTATAGAATATATTGAGTTGTCCAAAATATTGGTTAATGAGTGACATGTTGTGATAGTTTCTCGTTTAGGGTCATAAAGACATTTCACTTGCTGTCTGTTAAGTGAAACTACTTAAACTGGATCTGGTTCTGTTGTTATAACAATGTTCATGGATAATTTATGTCAATTTTTTTGGGGTTAACTGGAATTACAGTTCTGTATTTTTTTAAAGAGACCTTTTTAAAGTCATTATTGGTCAAAATAATAAACAATAAATGATAAATAAATTTAAATAAATAACAACATACATAAAAAAAAACATTTTTAAAAAGGCTATATTGTTATGTTTAGTATTTTGATAATGTATGAGAACTAAATATTTACAAATTTACCACATTTTATTTAGTTTTTTGCATAGTTTGAAACTGGCGAATCTCTTCTTCCTCTGGTTTGTTCTGTTTCCTCAGTTTCTTTTTTTATGGTTACTCTTTATGTTCCACACCTGTTTCTAATTTTTATTTTTATTTATTTTTTTTTTTTTTTTGCATTGGTTTTTCTACTACATGTACTTTCTTTGGTCTCTTTTAAATAAATTGATTTAATATCATTAGGTGTGCTCGCCCATTACAATTGCATTGAAAATGAAAAAAACTGAGTTTTAAACACGTTAAAATGCTGATTTCATGATCTTCAGACTGCTGTTGTCTTCTTCCTCAGGTATCTGCTGTAAGCGCTGTAGTGAACTGGGGGAAAAGCCCAAAAGCGTTTATCTTCCGCAACTATAACCATGCTCCAGGAAGACTAAGCCGCTATGCTGGAGGTTCAGGATACCGGCTCTGGCAGGCTGTCCGGGCATCATCTGCTGCCCCAGGATATTTCCAAGAATTCCCCCTCCACGGTGACATACACCAGGTCAGTAAATTTTGTTTTAGTCCATTTGTAAGACTTAAAGGATATTAGTATGTAGAACTTTTTCTCTGGGTTTTTCTCCAGGATGGTGGTCTAATCATCAATAACCCTGTGCTCTGGCTGTCCATGAAAGTCGTCTGCTGTGGCCCCATCAGCCCTATCAGTGTGTGCTGTCGCTGGGCACGGGACGCTATGATAACGCTAGAAGAGGACCTGCAACCTCTACCAGTCTGAGAGCCAAAATCAGCAACTTGATCTGTAGCGCCACCGATACTGAGGGTCAGTCTGCTGTACATGAAGAATATCAGTCAGCTGCTTATAACCATTTAATACAACTGACAAATAGTCTCTATAGTGGTTCTAGTTTCTAACATTTTAAGGGAAACTTTGGTTATTAATCAACCAATCAGATAAATCCTATAGCCTACAATAAATAGTCAATTTTTATCAAGCGGGAGCCCTGGGCTCAATTATCTCCAAGCTCAGGGTTCTCTCGTGGGACAACATGCCAAACCTGCTATTAGCATCAAGCAACATCTAAGTGTGAACTCCTGAATTAATATTATAGAGAATAATTTTGCAATTAATAATTGCGTACAATAGGCTATTTTCAACTACGCAATTATTTATAATACACGATACAATATAATATAATACAATATAACTGTAACACAATCTACAATTATGTCATATATTTTAATTTTCAATAGTATACAGAATAATTTTACAATTAATTAAAAAATATGTGCGTGTGTGTGCGTGTGTGTGTGTGTGTGTGTGTGTGTGAATCAAGACTAATTAAACCCTTTAAATTAACCAATTTAATTTGTCAAGAAAAACTTTATGGAGACTGTTTTTATAGATTATTATAATCTTTAATACACAAAGAAAAAATAACTGCACTGACAAAACTTATGTGGAACCAGACAACATTTTATTTTGCACTACTGCAAAAACATCCTTTTCTTTTTGTAAATGTAATTTTTTTTCTGAATCTAATTATAATAATGAAGCTGAAAATATTACATTGAATAAACACTATATAAATTTAGCCAGTCAAAACTGTTCTTTTACACTTGCATATTTTGCATTTGCATATTATGGATGTATTATAGTGCTGATATCCACCCATTTCTAGGAGTGCATACTCTACTGGATGACCTCTTACCGCCCAATGTGTATTTCCGCTTTAACCCGATGCTGAGTTCAAACGTGACACTTGATGAGAGCAGACCTGAAGTGCTTCAGCAGTTACAGAAAGATACACAGATGTATTTGGACCGGAATCGAGACAAACTGGAGTGTCTGAGTGAAGTGCTGATGACAGAGCGCACAGCAATCGGGAAAACACGGGACTGGATCAGTGAGAAAGCCTGGAAGCTGCAGCAGCGCTGGACCTGAGTGGATATTTCACTGTCATGACAGAACAGCAGATGAATGTATGCACTGGACTCAATCAAAACAAAGAATTATGAACAATTTAATGACCATTTTTACTCTAATACATTTAAAAAAAACAACAACTCACAATTCCCTCTCTGTTTTGGCCCTCCGCCAGCACTGAAACAGCATTTTTAGGCAACAAAAACATAACCTTTTGGAAACTCTCTCCAAAGTGGATGAATTTGAAAATTGCATAATTCTGTTTGCATAAAAATGCAAAATTCTGTTTGAATGTCTGCATTTGAAAGGGATAGTTCACCTGAAAATGAAAATTCTGCCAGCACTTACTCACCCTTGACTGAATCCATTTTTTTTTTTTTCATTTTAGGGTGAACTGTCCTTTTAATGTTGCAATGTGGACTATAAAAAAAAAAGACTTTCAAAAAAAAAAATAGTACTTTTTTTTTATTGCATTTTTAAAAAAACGCTGATGCATTTTTAGCCATGTGATTAGCGAAAATGCTGGACAGCTTGTACCACAGTTATTTTGTTTGCTCTCCATTTTCAGAGTCCTGTGTTACTTCACCTCACTGATGGTCAATTTATAAAACTTTTCCTCAACATAGCTACGATATTTCAAAGAGTCAGGCGGAAATCTGAAATGGTTCAAGTGTCTTATGTCTTAACCAGCCTGATCTCACGAGAAAACGTAAGTATTTTACGTTTTGCCTGTTTAGTGGCTAATGATACGATTTTAAAAAGGAGGCGTGGCACCTAACCCCACCCCTAACCCCAACCGTCATTGGGGGATAAGCAAATCGTACTAAATTGTACGAATTAGATTGTACAAATTTATACGAATTAGCCACTGAATGAAAAAGTTACGAATTGCCGTGAGATTGTGTTGGTCGTAACGCATACAGAGTACTGCAGCGTTTTCTGTCATTTCTGGATGACCAGATTTTGGGAAATGATTGAACGTGATAGTGTGGACATGGGATGTTTTTAGGTGAAAATGCCATTTTCAAATAGATTCCTCCAAGTGTAGACATTTATATTGACCTTATTCTTCAATGCAAAAGTGCGCTCGTTTTTGTGATTGTTTTAGAACTTCTGATTCAGCCATGGGAGAAATGACCAGGAATATTAAAACACAGAAAACAGTAAAACTTCCTGCTCTACAAACAAGTGATTGCATGATTATACAGATAAAGCAAAGTCATACAGTTTGCAACATCAAGCAGCAAAACGAGCTGTTTTTATCATCTAAAAACGAATGAAAGTGAATGAGTCTCCAGCCAAAAAGATTCAAATGGCTGCGCCCGCTTGTATGTGAAGAATAAGGTAAAAAGGATTATGGAGGGCCTTGTTACAAATCAAAAACACAGCCATGTTATAGTACATGCACCATCAACACCATCATGCAAATGAAACACAAAACATTGTTTTATCCGTACATTTACATGGCAACAGGGGTTTGGGAGCCTGTACATTTCTAAAAGAAAATAAAAACTGTTATTGTCTCTACAGAAATGTGTAAAAACTTGTAAAAACCTTTCAAAAAACAGAATCTGTTGTTTAAACAGACTGAATGTATTAAGCACTTCTGCAATGAAACCACCAAAAGCTTGTAAATGTGTTTGGATGTGAATATGTATTATTACAATGTAATGTATTTATATATGAATTCATTTCTTGTATTGGTATGTCATTTGTCAAGGTTATGAAATTAAATAAAACATGCACTTTATGTGATTTATCCAAAAGCACTGATTGTCTGTCATGTAGTTAATTCAGAAAGAAGAAAATGAAATAGGGGTGCCATGGTGGCTTAGTGGTCAGCACTGTTGCCTCACAGCAAGAAGGTTGCTGGTTTGAGTCCGAGCTGAGTCAGTTGGCATTTCTCTGTGGAGTTTGTATGTTCTCCCCGTGCTTGCGTGGGTTTCCTCCGGGTGCTCCAGTTCCCCCCACAGTCCAAAGACATGCATTTTAAGTGAATTGAACTAAATTGTCAGTAGAGTGTGAATGCGAGAGTTTATGGGTGTTTCCCAGTACCGATTTGCAGCTGGAAGGGCATCCGCTGTGTAATACATGCTGGATAACTTAGCGGTTCATTCCACTGCAGGTGTTTTTTTATTTACCCATATTATATACTGAAAATGTAAATACTAGAAAAACTGAAAATATCTATTAAATGACAGAAACAAAATCTCATATTACACTGTATCTCACAACTTCTTCTTTTTAAATATCTAAGATTAAATTCAAGTAGCTTCAACCAATTATTTAGTAATAGTTTCTGACATTTTCATTCAATTTCCCTGTTCAAAATATGACTTATTTGTAAATTTTTTTAGTTGGCCCAACTTGATTTCATTGTCCAATCAACATTCAATCATTAATCAGTCATTTTTAGTCCAATCAACATAAGCCATTCTGAATGTGAATGTGATAAGGTCTGAAAATAACCCCATTTAACATTTTAAAAGTGGATTTTAGTGGAATTAAAATATATCTCAAGCAAGCATAGAAATTTTCACTCAAAATTGTGCGGTGTTTTTAAAGTGCAAACATGGTGATTTTAGTGTTGTTTTCAGTGCTAATAAATCAGTCACGTAGTCTCTGCTCATGTGACTAGCAGTGACTGACATCAGTCAAGAGCTCTGTTTGTTATTTTGGACAGAATTTTTCCTCTGAGAGGGTATTTCACTTCAACCTCTTCTTTAAGGACACTGGTGGACTCCTTTTCTAATATACAGTAACAATATTAAGGTGTTGTGTTGTGGCATAGAAGAGAAAACATGGACAAAGAACACAATTATGATGCTTTAATAAACTGAAAACAGACACAAAGGAACATTGACTGAATCCACTGAAAAAAGGGTAAGGAAGATCATTTTTTATTTATTTTAAAAGAGAAGAAAGATAGAAAGTATACACTTATTCACATATATGATTTTAGCAGAATTTATTATTTCACTTCTACTTTTGCATTTAATATTTTCACATTTATTTATTAAGTTTAATGACAAATCTTTCGTTGTTATCTGGAACGTCTTTCACCATGACTGGTTGTAAAAGCAGTGTGATGATGTCACTGTCAGAAACACAATGTATGTTTGATTATGGTGGCCGTTTTCTCAGGCTTGAGCTGAGAGTTGTGAGTCAGCTGCTTCTGAATTACTCCTGTCATGGAAGAGTGTCAACAGCGAAGACTATCATGCTAAATATGATGTTTGTAATCTTCTTTTTTACTCAGTGTATTTAAGAGAAGTACTCTAAAATAGATATTAAAACAATTACGTATTTAAAGTTGCTCATGAGGTAGTAGATCAATAGATAGAAAATATAAACTACAGCAATATCTCAAGAACACTAAAAAACATTGAATGGAATGTCTATTGTTTTGTTTTAGGTTAGCAATTATCATTCACCAACAGCTATTTAGAAAATAAACAAATATCAATGTGTTATTTGAAACATGCTATTCATATCTTTGATTTAAAAAAGGCTCTGGAAATGAAGGATAAAAGAATAATTTTGGGTTCCCAAAAAGATCTTTTTAGTAATTAGTTCTTTAAAAAAAAAAAACATTTTTTTTCTAAAGAACATTGTCATTTATTATTAAGAAACTTTTGAACTGGAAATGGTTATGAAAGTTAAGTGTTCTTCTTGAAACCATCAATGCCAATTTTAAAGTGTGTAAATCCCAAAATTTTGGAAAAAAAATAACGATTTAAAGCACGATTTAAAGTATTAGTTTTCTTTTTGGGTTTCCCATTAATATATGCTTAATTATGCTTAAAGCACCTTAATTGAAAGAAATGTGAAAAATGCTAATTGATTTGATGTCAATTGACTACCTTGATGCCAAAAACGACATCTAACTGACTGCTAACATATAAAATGTATCCTGTAATTTTGTGGACACCAATATTAGATGTCCATTTGATGTTGTTTTGACATCAAAGTAGTAGTTTACATGCATTGTAGGTACGAATACAAATTCTAGTGTACATTTGCAATTAAGGCTTTCAGATGAAAAAAAATAAAAAAAAAGCTTTCTAAAGTTAAAAATTTTAAAGGTAAAAATAATACCATTACTGTCTTTAAAAAAAAAACAAAGTTATATTTTTACTGGTTATACTGACTGGTTTAGGCCTAAATATCCAAGAATTTTCTTTTCGTCTCAGTCCCTTTATTAATCTGAGGTTGCCACAGCAGAAATATCAAGCCAATTTTCATTTTTTTACGTGTTTTTTCACATGTTGTTCAAGTTTTCTGCTGGGTACTATTGATAGCTTTAGTAGTTTGCTGGACTAAAATAGTGAACATTATAGTTGTCATTTTAAGTATGAGACAGACTTTATCCTGCATTAATGATTGATTGATTGATTGATTTCATTTGACAAATTTACCAAAAATAAACAAACGAGTCCAATTAGACTAATTCATACATATTTTTAAAACTGTCAATGATCAAATACACAAAAAAGCCACAGGCTTATTCCATTGTAAAAAATGAATGGGCAAATCCCCTGAGTTTTCCCTCTGAGCGGTTATTTTATTTCAACCTCTGCTTTAAAGAAACTGATGGACTCCTTTTCTATATGTAAATGATTAATTTTAAGGCTTTTGTATCATGCTAATACAGTAAATGTTCATGCTCAGATTCAGTATCTCATGACAAGTTAAGCAGCATCTGTTTCTCTGAACAAGCTGTCGTGGTACTTTAAGGCTGAACTGATAAAACCCAGACTGAACAGAGCAGCGTATGTGTCCACGAGCACAGAGCTGTCATTGTCCCGTCTCTGGAGGAAGAGCTTCATTCAGGCTTTGTACAGTTTGGTGCATGGCACTGCAGTGCTGCCGATGGCACACGGACAGCTAGATACTGACCGCTATTAGATCATACTTATGAATCTTTTCACCTAGTGTGAGCTGACTCAAGAACTTTTTTGTTCCATCATGACTCTCGCTTTCGTATTAGCTCATCCACGGAGCGTATAGTATGACTGTATTTTATGTGTCCCTGCGTGCCTGAGCAGATGTGGGCTGAGAATGTGTTTCAGTCACCGAGGTCCTGTTTCCACCCACATCTTCTCCCCTGAGTCAAGCTCGTCCCTCTTGAATGTCGATTCATTCACCTCCATGTCTTTGACCATGCAACTCACATTTACACATTTTAAACTCAAATTTTAGAGGCTGATATAATCTTTGGCCCTCTTCACTTAGGGGTCACAAATGACATTTTTGAGCCTGGAAATTTAATTTTTATGCATCTATAACTATGCATTTATAACTTGTGACCCTCTAAGCCAGGGGTCACCAAACTAGTTCCTGGATTTTAGTTTCAACCCTAATCAAACACACCTGATCAAGCTAATCAAGGTCTTACAAAGTTTAGTTGAAACAGCCAGGCAGGTGTGTTGAGGTGTGACACCGGCCCTCCAGGACAGAGATTGGTGACCCCTGCTCTAAGCGATGAGGTCCAAAGGTAGAATTTCAGATTAAAATTTCTAAATGTGAGCTGCATGATCAAAACCTGAACCAGAAAGTGAATGAATTTACATTGAAATTGATATATATTCTTATAAATATGTAGAGATGCTTTTGTATTTATATACATTTTAGGGCTTTATTTTTTACTTGTTTATTTTCTTAGTTTTATTAGGTTTTAATTTTACATATACATTCTGAAAAGATTAGATAACAGGTTTGCATTGTAATCAAGCATTACAATTTTGTTAGAAAGAGAACACACACAGAGAGAACATGTTATGTTAGTCTGAATTTGATAAACTTAAAAATAAGTAAAGAATCAATAGTAATAATTTATAATACTTTATGCAAACATTTAACAACTATTACAATCTAAAATTATTGCCTGTCTGTCTAATGTGTGTGTGTTTCCCTGCCAATTTTGCTCTCTTGATATTTTATAGTGTCTTCATTGTTATGTACTTTGTGTAGTTTGTACAGCATGTATAGTTTGGACATTTGTTAAATGTATTTATTTTGACAAGGATATCACAATTACACTGGACAACCAAATGCATGCTAAAGTGTTTTTGCAGACTTGTTCATTCTCAACACCTGTCCACGGGAGGCTTGGTATAAAATGAAAATAAAATAGAAACATATACAATAATAAATATTAAAACACATTATAAACACACAAATAGTACAATTCTTTACATAAAATTGCTATAAGGCAAAAGAAAAGGCGGCATGATCAAACAAACTAATAGCAAACCATTTGTGTAAACACTGCTGCTTTTTTAACCACATTTTCCCCAAGTATAACTACTTTAAACATTTAAATTATTTTCTGATTTTAGGCTAACAGGTAAATCGTCACACAATTTGGTTCCTAACAGAGAAAACTGACCAATGTGGAACAAGACAATCACTATTAGCAGTTGCTCATTTCCATTGAACTTTCTAGGTTTGTAATCTTTCCTTTTTTATTGGCAGTTTAACATTTCTAAAACATAGCTAATGTGACAAAAGTCACCAAGCATCATCCTATTCTGGTTGAGCAAATGAGAAAACTTTCAGTTTTCAGTTATGTCTGTCTGACCGGAGAAGCTCAGAGGGCTGAAACTCTTTTATGTGCGCTCACTAATCACATGACTGCATTTAATTTTCACCGAGAAACAAACATTTCATTCACTGACTTAGCTTAGTTTTTCAGGACCAAACAATGAGGCCCACATATTGATGTCATAATCAAAAAGAATGCAAAATATCTGACGACTGAATTTGGCTGTACATGGCCTATGGCAAAGTGCTAACATAATTATGACATGATATAGCCTACTAATTATATTAAAATCAGATAATATTAAAAAACCTTTGAGAGACTATTTTAATACAAAAAAGCTTTATTGATTTAACCATCATGACCAATAATTCAATATAAACCATAAGGAGAGAGAGAGAGAGAGAGAGAGAGAGAGAGAGAGATGGAGGGGGTGGGACGTCATTCATGCTTCATGTGTAGAGTGGGCAAACGGATGAAGACAATGAAGAGGGATGTTAGTTGGAGAGGTATACATTACAGAAAGCGTCTGCTTGGATTAACATTGTTTTGGACCTTATTGAATGCAAAACTTCTGGGATTGGAATTACATTTTTGGATCATTAGCAAGTTAAGGCAGATTAGAGAAATGAGGAAACAAACTCCAGGCTTGGTATAAAAGGTAAACACCTAAAGATATAGTGACTGACAATTGTGAACATTTAATATAATGCAATTTTAATACATTTATTTTTATTTTAGTGCCGTGAAATGACCCGCTGACACAGAAAAAGAAGATTCTGTGAATCCTGTATATACTTCAGTTCAGTTGGTAGGCTATTTTGTTTTGTTTGTGTAATTAAGTTGTTAAGTGACCTTTACTAATGAATAGTACCTTTGATCACCAAACAAAATAATGTAGCTAACGTGACATGAAGGCCAACAAACCAAAATATGTAGCTTTTTCCTTTAACTGTTTTGCTTTAGCAATACTTAGCAATGCTAATATGTGGTTTAGAATTCAGCTTTTCCCACATTGGACATTAATAATTATGCATTTAGAAAACTACAAAAAAAAACCTTGTGCATTGTAATGAATTATTCATGAAAGAGGTTATTTTCATATCATTTGTTTTTTATCTTGGACTTTTATATTTTCCAGGAAACATATGAATAGGCTGTATTATATCCCTGCTGAAAAATCCAGCTTAAACCAGCCTAGGCTGGTTGGCTGGTTTTTTTAGCAGGGATGGGATTGATACTAATTTCATCCCATATTATTATACACATAGGGCCAATAATGCTAATAATTCCAATGTATAATATTCATTAATTAACTATATAAATACGATATACAAAACTAACCGTGTTTGGGGTTGTTTGTTCACTCCTCAATAAAACAAAAGTTTAAAATTGACGTACAGGCTACGCAGCTTGAATGCAAAGGATTTTTTAGTGGACGAATCACGTTTGCGTAAGCAAAAGAAGGCGGGGCTTAATATAACGCCAATGAAAGTTTATATACGAAATAGTTTGGTTTGCCTCAACTGCACATTAACGAGCATTTTAGCATCTACATTGTACATAAATTGAACAAAATTACACCAAAACGCTGTTTAACTGAGGGGGAAATTGAGTAAAAAAGAAAACAACATGCAAACAAGCCAAGCACGTGTGGACCAATGTTTGTTATTATTTAATACGGATTGTAGCACTGGTTCTAGTATTTTCTGTGTCGTCAGGTCACAGTAAGGCAGATGCTGTATAGCAGATATGAAGTGTTGGAGGATTCCTGTCATAATTACTGTCCTACAGCAAACATGGATTCTGGCCATGGAGATTCCTCCTGATGGTGAGGAACTGTGATTGTAACTCATTCAGATCTGTCTTTGTGAAGTTTATTTTGCTCACCAAGACTGCATTTATTGAATTTACTGTAATTTGTGAAATATACTTTACTCTGGCTATTCAAAGCTGAACTTTAAGCATCATTGTTCCAGTCTACTAATGTATATTGTAATCATTTATTAGCATAATTTTTTTGTATTAATGGTTGCAATTTCTTTTCAAGGATATGCAGGTTTTGTTGTTGATGTTAAGGTTAAGCTTTCCTCAGAAATATATATGAATATCCCTTTAACTGCCCCACCAAGATTTTTTTTACTTACTCCTAATATCGATAGTTAACACACTCGGTGCATTTTTTTTAAAAAACATCCCATGATTTCTAAAATATCAACCTTTACCAAATAGTTGAAGTGTTGGTTTATGGTAAAAGATACGGAACTAATACTTATACTGTAAAAAATCTGAAAATATGAAGCGTAAGGCCAATTAAAAAATATATATATTCAAAATAAAACATTTCTGAGTACTAAATCAACTTTATTTTTTTAATTCCCTGCTGAAAAATCCAGATTAAACCAGCATAAGCTGGTTGGCTGGATTTAGCTGGTTGACCAGGCTGGTTTTAAAGGGGTTTTGGCCATTTCCAGGTTTTAGTTGGTTTTAGCTGGTCATTTTCCAGCCTGACCAGGTAAGACCAGGCTGAAAATGGCTGGATACCAGCCTGGAAATAGCCAAAACCCCTCTAAAACCAGCCTGGTCAACCAACTAAAACCAGCCAACCAGCTTAGGCTGGTTTAAGCTGGATTTTTTAGCAGGGTTATGCCATAAAATATTTCAGATTCTCATTTAACATCAAATTTATTTATTTATTTATTTATTTTTACAGCAAAACCAAATTCAAGTGTAGCAGTGCAAGAGGATCATATTTGTTAGATTTTTGTGTGTGTAATGCTGTGTAGTGTAAACCATTATGTAAAGCAGTCATTCTTTAAATGACTATAGCAGTCATTATTTAAAACAGTAAACACATGGTCAACCGTTTGGCAGAGCGGCAGTCAAAGGGATATATGAAGAAAATGAAATAAAATGTTTTACACTGATACTAATAAGAACTCTGAGCACCAATAATTACTGATCATAATAGGGTGCTAAATCATCACATTATTACAATTATTTCTAAAGGATCACTTAGGTCTGGAGTAAAAGTAATTAAAATTCAGCTTTGAATCACAGGAATGAAATATATTTAAAAATGTATCACAATATTAAACTGTTATACTGTTATATTGTTTTTATTTTGATTAGAATGATTATTAATTAGAGTTAGAATGTTTCCAAAGTTTTGACTGGAAGTGCAGGCATTGTCTTTTTTAATGTGTTCAAATATTGTATTTTTATATTCATTTCCATACAGTCAGACAGCCGCCAATGATCTATAAAGAGAGTGTTCAAGACTACATAGTAGATCCGGTTGACCCAATCATAGTGGAGTGTGAAGCAACAGGGAATCCACCTCCAGTGTAAGAACATCTCCGGATCTTTCTTCCTTTATGACCTTTGCTTTCCCATGATTTTCCTTAGTTTGTTTGGGTTATTCACCTTTTTCTACATGCGTCTTCTGCATTTCAAATTATAGATTGCCATTTCAGTTTAAAGAACTTCCAGTCAAAAGCACTGTGTTTTGCATCATACTGCTGCAGAAAGACTTGTTTGAATTTTTGGGGTTATTCAAGGTCTTCTGAAAGTCATTTGTAAAGTTTATTAAAATGCCTTTTTGACATTCGATGGATGATAATAAAGTGAGTTGAAGATAATAAAGTCAGATCATTCTAGCCAGTATTCATTTATTTAGTTTTTTAAATTGTTTACCATGTAACAGAAGCTACTTCCATAATTCACATAAAGTATAATGGGACGTACTGTAGAGAAAGGTGGATAATATTGTGCTGATGTATTGATTGATGATGCTGTAAAATGTATTGGTTAAATTTGAATAATTTAAAAAAATGCTGATGATCATATGATCACACCCTGTACGTAGCTTCACATGGACGCGTAATGGAGTTTACCTGAACGTGGCACGGGATCCTCAGGTCAGCATGAGGTGGCGTTCGGGCACATTAGAGATTTTCTTCTGGGGACGTCCTGACGATTATGAGGGCATCTATCAGTGCACGGCCACCAATGAGTTTGGCACTGCTCTCTCCAGTTACATCAATCTGCGTGTCTCCAGTAAGCCATAACCTATATGTTTGTGAATACACAACAATTGAGTTTAGTGTATTGATGTTTGAATCTATTTGCTTTAATCAGAGGCCCGAACATGGTTGAAGGAGTATCTGGAGCCAGTCACAGTAGTAGTTGGACTTCCTCTCATCCTTCCCTGCAATCCACCTGAAGGCCCTCCTAAACCAGACACTTACTGGCTGAACAGTAGTAAGTATAAGAGATTTAGATAAAGTGGTCTGAAGTTAGTCAGAGTTGGTTTTAAGCTGTGCAATGTAGATGTGCAGTAATGGTTTGGGATCAGTCATTTTATTATTTATTTTTATTAAGAGGGTTATTTAGCTGGTGCTGAAAGCCTTGTAGTTATTGTGTCCACACATCACTATGGTGTTCACGGAGACCCGAGTTTGATTCGTGGCCTGAGGTCCTTTGCAAATCCTTTAACCTCTCTCTGCTATACCCACTCTTTCTGTCAATAATAATAATAACTGTAAAAAATCAGCAAGGATGCATTACCTTTTTCAAAAGCAACAATAAATAAGGGTATTAAGTTACTACGATTTTTATTTTAAATAAATTCTGCTCTTTTGAGATTTGGGTTAATAAAGGAAGCAGGGAAAATGTACAAGGATTTTCAACATTTAAAAGTGTTTCTGGACCCCAAATCGTCATATTAGTAAACTTCTGTTGGATCATGTGACATTGAGGAATGCCGTAATTATGCTGGAAATTCAGGTCTGGCACCACAGATATGAATTTTAAAATATATTAAAATAGAACACTTATTTACTTTATTTTGCTATTTTGAATGGTAAAAATACAGCTTATTGAAACCAAAATTTCCCAAAAGATACCAAGTTCAAATATCATAATATTATTGCCTAGTCCTCCTAACTGTATAAATTATGCAGATTAATTAATACTAAAGCTACAAAGGTTAATAAGGTCACAAGCAAGGAGTGATTATATCCTTGCCTTTTTTAGTTAGATTAATATCAAATACACAGCTGGTAAACAAGAATGCATGGGTTCAATGCAATGATACACACACTAAATTCCTGTTTATTGAGAGTATTCAACAAAACTTTTGTACATAATTGTCCATTCAATATAAAAAAAAACACAAAATTTGGGGTTTGTGTATGAACTAAACTGAGCTCTTTCATGTCTTCTTGTACTTAAATGTTTTTAAAATTACCTACAATAACTACATGTAGTAACTACATAAATGGCCATAACTATTATGACTACTAAAGACTGTGCAGAATAGAATTTTTCAAGTCATATTTACATTAAAAGCTTCTATTAGGATTTTAGAATTATGGTTTGAATGTCTGTTGCCATATTTTACGCAGAAAACAAGATCATTTTTGTAATATAGCATATAATTGTGTACGCAGGCAGGAGAGCAAAGTCTTTTCACTAGAATGAAAATGTTGTTTTGAAAGACGTGCCTGAATAAAATTGTGTTTTTGCTGTTAAAAAGTTCAGTTTTGTTTTGCATAAAGTTGCTAGGCAAACAGAGACATGCATATTCAAAAGCACAGGAAAAAGGAGCGAATACTTAAATGCAAAGGTCAATGTGACCTTTACGGCCATTCAAGGTAGAAATAGTCAGAACTCTTGTGTTTTGTAATGTTAATAAAATAGCAATGTTAGAATGAAACATATACTTGTAACATGTAATTTGATATAAAAATAATAATGTTAGAATAAAACGGATACTTAAGCCATATAATTTAATATAAAATTTTAGTTATTAAAATACAAAATGACTGCCTCAGTATTGTTCTAGTGTGAAAGCACATGAAAAATAATAAACCTTGTGCTAATGCAGCAGTGGCCCCAACTAGGATGGTAAAAAAATCTGACATCTTTCATCAACTTCCTAAACATGCAGCCAGCTGTTTGTATCCAAGTTCATCTTTATTCCATAGCAATGTCGCCAATTCGTCAGGATCGTCGAGTGTCAAAGTCAGAGAACGGAGATCTGTACTTCTCCAGTATCGTAGCAGACGACGCTCTTACCAACTATGTCTGTGTGGCCCGTTTTCCCTTCACCAACACCATCCAGCAGAAACCACCCCTCATCCTGCAGGTGCTCACAGGTTGGTGCAAGAATCTGCTTTTTATTCTGCTTTAGAATTGCACTTCGTTTTAATATTTCTACTTGTGCCTATTTCTGTTTGTGTTTAGTTGAAGGAGACCATGATTAAAACATCTAACAGTCTAACACAATGGTGAGCTTTTCCTTATGCTTCTTTATTAGCATGCCTTAACTCATCCACTAACTATTGATAAATGCTTTGGCCAAGTTTATCCGATCAGAATTGTGTTATTTTATGTCAACTAAGCTCGCATGGCAGCACACACGGCACCCAAGTTTCTGAAACCCAAAGGAACTGCCAGCACAAGGATTGCGATGCTGGGAGAGGAGCTTATTCTGGAGTGTTTTGCTGCAGGAGTGTGAGTTTTAAAAGCATTTTGGTTGATTGCATGTCTATTTTTTGATTATTGGTAGATTGTTTGATTGTGTTGTTAAATCTCATGTTAAACATCTTTAATCTCACATAGAAATCTGATATATACATTAACAGTCAAAAGTTTGGGGTCAGTGTGATTTTTAAATGTACTATAAATACAGTACAAATTGTAAAATTGTAAAATGTTATTGCACTATACATAACTGTTCAAAAGGAGTTTATAATTTAATTTAATAATTTATTCCAGTGATTTTAAAGATCATTTTTCAGCTTCATTACTCAAGTCTTAAGTCACATGGTCCTTCAGAAATCACTTTAAAGTTAATTAATTATTATTGTTATTATTATTAATATTATTAATATTAATGGTAATAGTAATACAAGTAATCATTTAAAACTACTTACAATAAGAAAGCAGTTATTCACAATTTTTATATATATTTAACAATTTTTATTTACATTAAATAAATGCCACCTTGATGAACAGAATTCTTAAAAAAAAAAAAAAGGAAAGAAACTGGCCTCAAACTTTTGACCAGTAGTGTATATTGTTTCAGAATTGATATAACAATGTGTATATCCCTAAAAATCACACGCAGAATTAGATTATTTATTAAGGATTACAAGATAAAGTTAAATTAAAAGAAAAAGACAGTGTGTCCACTGGGTCTTAAAAAGTCTTAATGTCTTAAATTACAAAAAGTAAATGTTAGGTCTTAAAAAGTCTTAAATTCACTAAAATATTGTGTTGTAGGTCTTAAATCATTTTAAACAGGTCTCAATTTTGCTTTGTCAAAGTAAAGCTACTCAATTGGGCCGACGTCCATCCAATCGCAACAATCCATCTCGGTAAAACCTAATTTTTTATAATAAAGTTTTTTTATTGCAAGGAGATACAATTCACAACAGCTATTAGATATTTTTATAGAAAATTAATTCCCTATTAAATAAAGAAAAGAAAACAAATAACAATGATTCCTCATAATAATCCTAGTAATAAACCGATAAAAAAAACTTTGTATAAGTCTATATATATATAGTCAATTTCTATATTTGAATACTGTTAGACTCTTGTTTTTTGCTCTGTCGTATTTATTTAAGCTTATAATTTATTATACTTAATGCAGATGCACTGCATAGAAAAAGACTTGTTCGCCCCAGTCAATCTAAATAATGTAATCCTTCCAAACAAAGTTATTCAAAAATCATCTGGTGAAATTATATTCATATCACAATATATATCTCAGCAAAACAAAAAACTGCAATGTCAGGATATTTTTCCATTATCGTACAGCCCTAATATATGAAATATTTGTACATATATGTATATATTTATAATTCCATATGGCCATTTTGGAACTGTTTGAAATATATGTTTCATATAGACCATTTTGATGGCTGTAAACAATAACAATGGTCCTTACGTATTTCCTGTTTTACATTTTGAATTTCTATAGCTTCCAAGAATGCAAACAGGTCCACATATTCGTAAATAATGTTATGATAGCTGCTTTAACATGAAGGTATGATTAAATTGCCCCTTATTACAGTTATGAAATAGTTTGACAAAAAGCAGGAAATGTTCATGGACCCATGATTCTTATTTTAAGTGTGTGAAATCCAAACATGAATTTGTCATATGTTATTTGCTTGTATTGCCCTATATCAAAGTTCTACACGGATTTAGGTCTGATTCTCTCTTTTTCTTTGTAGTCCAACTCCCTCCATCAAATGGACTAAAGATTATGAAGAGATGACTATGACAGGGAAGAAGCTGGAGAATTTTAATAAGACGCTTAGAATAAAGAAGATCGCAATGGATGATGGAGGAGACTATATCTGCACCGCTTCTAACAGGATGGGCAGCCTGGACCACATCATCACTGTCAGGGTCAAATGTAGAATACTTCATTATTTTTATTACTGTTGTTTGTCACTAGTGGATTCACACAAAAACACACCTTCTGTAATTTGCTCATTTTCATGTTCCAAAGCAAATTATTATCTTGAATACAAACTGTAATGTTCACGCACAGGATTGCACTATATTTATCATCTATAATAATATGGTAGTTGTATATTTTAAAATTATATGTGAGCAAAGAAACAAACACGATAAGAGCCCAAAAGCACACACTGTGATGAAGCCTATTATAATTCAGTAAGAATAAATCTAAAGTTCACTTTATGAATAATAATAAAAAAAAATCCTCTATGCATATTTTATTATATATGAATAATATTTCAATCAAGATGTTTTTTTTAAATGAATATTTAACACCCCTTGTTTATAACAATAAATAAGTAACAGCGTACAAAAGACCTGTAACATAAAGCCAAACTGAAGTCAATATTCACTTAAAACTGCATATATTAGGCTGAATGTTTTATAGGCAGAAGTTCTATATTTACTCTGGTTTATTATTTTATTTTTGTGGTTTGTACGGTTTTTGTTTGTTGTTGAAACGTCTCTTTTGGTAAGCAAATCTTATATTGTGACATACTATTACAGTTTTTTTCAGCTGCCATTGCTCCAGTCTTCAGTTCCACCTGAAATATGCTGATGTGGTGCTCAATAGATATATTTTATTGTAATTATGAAAATAGTAGAAGTAATAAGTTGTGCTGCTTAACATTTTTGAGAAAACATGCATTGCTTTCAGCATTTTTTAAGCAGATTTTAAAATAATGGCATTTATTTAGAAAAAAATTCAACAGTAACTATTAAAATACAATATTTATGACAATAATATATACATATTTTTACAACTGTTACTTCTGATCAATTTAATATGATTAACTAGTTTATCTGTCCCGAAAGTACACTGTTAATCCTAAACATTACATGCTTTACAGCAGGGGTGTCCAAACTCGGTCCTGGAGGGCCGGTGTACTGCATAGTTTAGCTCCAACTTCCTTCAACACACTTGCCTGAACATTTCAAGTATACAGAAAGAGCTTGATTTGCTGGTTCAGGTGTGTCTAATTGGAGGTGGAACAAAACTATGCAGGACACTGGCCCTCCTGGACGGAGTTTGGGCACCCCTGGTTTACAGTAAAGAAAGAAAAACCGAAGCATACCAGTGTAATAAAATATGAAGATGAATAAATAAGAACTATATTTCATTTTAAGTAGGAATGACTAAATTAAGGTCCTATTCTCAATTGTCTTTGACTATTCTCTGCAGCGGTTCCGTTCTGGCTGGAGAAGCCTGAGAGTCTGGTTCTGTCTCGGGATGACGGTGGTAGTATGGTGTGTAGAGCTGATGGGATTCCTCGACCACAGATACAATGGCTGGTTAATGGAGAGCCAATCAGTGGTGAGGAAAAAGCAACAACATACTTAATAACAATAACAACATAACACTCACTCTTTCTGTGTTCCCATTAGATGCTCCTAGGAGTCCAGGCAGACAGGTTTCTGGAGACACTTTGACTTTCAGGGGTGTGGTTCCAGACAGTGCTGCTGTTTTCCAGTGCAACGCTTCAAACCCATACGGATATATCATGACTAATGCTTTCTTGGCTGTAATGGGTAAGAAGATGAAGTGAAAGTGTTAGGATGTACATACTAGTTAGCTTTAACAACTGCTTCCAACAGATCCTCTTGTCTGTAGACATGAAGCCTCGTCTGCTTGGTCCGAGAGATGAACTGTTTAAAACAACAGAAGGCAATCTCACTCTTCTAGACTGCCCATATTTTGGCTCTCCTAAACCTGTTCTACGGTGGTAAATATAGTACTTTGCTATCATTTATTCCTATTATCACATATGGAAGGATGAAAAGAGAAACTACTAGGTGTACTGTGAATTGTGAGTATTACAAAATGAGTATTAAATAACTTCTAAATATCCATATCTGTATGTACTCCAGGTCAAAAGGTGGAGTTGGTACATTAGAAGGAGGCCGTTATAGGACTCTTCCAAATGGCACATTGGAAATCAGAAACACAAAGTTACAAGATCAGGGTGCCTATGTGTGTGTTGCAAGCAACGTCATTGGACGAGATGAGAAAGAGGTGCAACTAGAGGTCAAAGGTCAGTGTCTGGAACAGATCAAAAAATAATATAAATATTACTCACATGCACTAATGTTTATTAAAAAAAAATAGTTTGAGGAAATGTCTAAAAAACAAAATGTTAATTAATTTGTTACTTTATATTGACTCTCAGTTTTACTTGTTTTTATTTTAAAGGAGCTTATTCTTCAATGCGGAAGTGCGCTTGTTTTTACGCTTGTTTTAAAACTTCAGATTCTGTTTGCAGATTCTGTTTGCAACATCAAGCAAATGAACGAGCTGTTTTTAATGTCTAAAATTAAATGAAAGTGAATGGGACTGGAAGTCTTGAGTCAAAAAGATTCAATTGGCTGCGCCTGCTCGTACACAAAGAATAAGGTCAAAATGTAAATTTAAGATCATTTTTAAGAGCAATGTAGGAACTGCTTGTAATGAAACTTAAAATGTCAAGACTTTCAGGATGTCTATGAAAGATTGTAGAATTATTTTTACGGGAAGGAAAATTTTGTCTGGAAAATCATAAGATGTTTTTTTATGTTTTTGTATGCCCCAGACATAACAAGAAATTTCTGCAGAAAAAAGCTGTTCTTTACTGGAATTAAGGGATATTCAATAGATTTGCATGTGTCAAAGGATTTCTAAAGTACAATGTGGAAGCAAAGAACATGGTTGCCTACGCAAAGTGCATTTAAAATCCTATAACACACAGCAAGCCGTTGATTATCCTGTTTTTTTTTCTATAGACATTTGCCAAAGTTTAGGCAAGTTTAAACTAGTAATGCTTTTGGCAGCTCAATATTTGACTGAGTTTTTGTCAGTATGATACATTAGATAGTTCCACTTTAAGTCAGTCACAGCAAAGTCCTCTTAAGCAAGTAATTTCACTCTGCAGCCATCTTTAAGACACCTCTCGGGCAGTATGCTCGGACATTCTTTCTGAATGTGGAAACATCAAATTCTCCAAAACTGCTTGCCAAGCTTAAGATTGAATTTGATATTAGGAATTACCAATAAAATTAACAACTGTGCCGTTTAGTTTTATTTCTAACCATCCAAATCACACAAAATCTGCAGAAATTCACGTCTGATCCAAGCCCCTCTCCCGGACTATCATCAGTCTATATCGATCAATGATTGGCTCCTCTACTAGAAGTTGAGCTTTATTCGCCATATAGTGATCGATGTTTGGCTCCTGTATTAGGAGGCAGGCTTTATATAGACCGTTACACTTTTCCCCATTCAAAAAGACACAAGTGACATGTCTTGTGTATTCTATAGTCTGCTCACAGGCACATGCTCGAGAGAGATCATGTAAATGACCGAGAGATATTGAATAGCTCATAGTAACATGTGTTAGCTACCTCTTCCCAAATATGTTTAGCGTGAGTACAATCAAGAGTACATACCAGACTGGTTTCAGTTCACTTAAGTCCCTCGTAGCCCTTGTAAGTAGTATTATGTCATTATTTTATAAACTAATCTGCTTGTTAAAATATTCAACTTGTTTTTATTTTCTAGAGCCCATTAAAATCATCCGCGCTCCACACAATACTGTAGTCATAAGAGGGAGTCTGGCTCGCTTTGACTGCAAGATTAAATTTGACACGTCTCTTGATGTCACCGTGACTTGGCTTAAAGACAAGAAGTTCTTGATCTTAGGAAGAAGGTAAACACAATTGCAGATGTGCATGCATAAGCATATGTGACATTTTTTCATTCTGTTGTTTTCCTTTTTTCAAATAAACTGTATCAAACCACTTTGTATCCTATAGGATGACAAAGGATGAGGAATCTCTGAGCATTGCTGATGTGTACAGAAGAGATGAAGGCGTCTACACATGCAGGGTTAAAAGTGAACTGGAGGAGGTCACAACTTCTGCTAAACTCACTGTGATGGGTAATCACATATATACTCTCCATTCATATAAAACACATAGACTCCCTGTATGCAGACTAAATGTGAGCACATTATATATATATATATATATATATATATATATATATATATATATATATATATATATATATATATATACTTTGGGTTTCAGACCGTCCAGACCCCCCAACTGACCTAGAGATATCAGACCCATCCGAAAGGAGCGTTAGACTCACATGGACACCAGGACTGAGCAACCACAGTCCTATTAAAGGTATTATCTGATGTCTTTATCATCATTTTTACAAACATAGATGCAATCTAAAGAATTTAGTTTCATACAGATGATTTTGATTGACTTTCTTACAGAGTACCTGATTCAGTACACCGAAAATCTCCTTGCTGACTATTGGCTGCTGCCGAGTGGCTGGAAAAATCTGACCAGTTATCCAGGAAGCCTCAATTCTGTCATTTTACAGCTGACCCCGTTTGTAGAGTACACATTCAGGGTCATTGCTGTAAATGGAATCGGTCCCAGTAAACCCAGCTGGGCATCTGAATATTACCAGACTGGTGGAGCTGGTAGGTAATTTTTTATTCTATTCTATTATAATTTATTGTATTATAATTTATTATAAAATATTGTGTATTTAGTGCCTGATGCCATCCCAAGAAACATCCAAGGACTGGGATATGGAGTGTTCAGAAATAACATGGAAATCAGCTGGGAGGTGATGCACTCTTGATTGATGGACGTCAATCATTTTAGTCAAAGCTGTTGCCTTTGTTTGGTTCTGTTAACTGTGCTATTTTGTTATATTTGAAGCCACTGGAGTACAGAGAATGGAATGGGCCAAAACTAGGCTATATGGTTTGGTGGCGACGGCGGGATTCAAGAGAGGAGTGGAAGAACTACACAACATACTGGTGGTGCAGCACCATCATCTACGACACTGACACCTTCACGCCGTATGAGATCAAAGTTCAGGCCATTAACTTTTTTGGTTATGGCCCAGAATCTCCTGTTGTTATTGGCTACTCTGGAGAAGATCGTAAGTTCACGTTTCAGTATCCAGTGGTTCTGTTCAGTGTGCATAAAAAGAGATTTCTTTCGGTTTTTAACTCATTGTGTTTCTCTGACAGGTCCAGTTGCTGCTCCATCTGAGCTGAGTGTGTCAGACATTGAAAGCACAACACTGACAGTCCACTGGGAGCCAGTGGCAAGAGCTGACATCATGGGGGAAATAAAGGAGTACAAAGTATGACTTCTTTGGTTTACCAAAACAAATGTTACTAGTGATATTTGGAATTAGTTCTAGTATCTTTAGAATGAGTGCTAGCTGCTAATCAATAAGTCAGGGGTGTCAAACTCTAATGCTGGAAGGCCACAGGCTTGCAGAGTTTAGTTCCAACTCTAATTAAACACACCTGATCAAACTAATTGTGTGCTTTAGGCTTGTTTAATACCTACAAATAGGAGCATTAAAGCAGGGTTGGAACTAAACTCTGCAGGGCTGTGGCCCTCCAGGATTTGAGATTGACACCCCTGCGATAAGTAGTGTGTATTTCTTAGGTACAAGTAATAATAAATAATTCTAATAAATAAATTTTAGTATCTATTGTACTTGTATTCGATAATAGCTTCCTTACTCCCAGGGCCATTTATATCGAAGTTGATATTAAGCTGCACCATATTGGTGTTTCGTAACTAGATATTTAATAATAAGTATCTATTTAAATTGTAATAGTATTTAATCAATAAATACTATTCAAACACACAGCAACTTTCATATTTAATGATTATATAATAAGTGCTAGTGTCTATATACAGTATACTATCAAGTATTCTTCATACCGTAGGGATCAGATCAATTTCTTTGGGTGAAATGCTTAACACTTCATTAAGCACAACTGGTTCGGGTTCTGTCCTCAGTTGTATACTATATCAATTATGAGTTAACTAACTTTGGTTTTTCATAAAGACATTAACTATTATTCTTATGTTTTCTATAGCAGGAAACCACAAATTATTTCCAAATTCTTCAAAAATAGTCGGTGATAGTAAATGCTAGGTTATTTATGAAATGCAATTTCAACCAAAACATTTTTTATCAGGTTGTAAACACCTCTTTTCTGCTGTAAAGTTGGGTATTTTAACATGGGAGTCTATAGGCATTTACTTTCTTTTGGTGCAAGCCCCCAGTGGCTAGTCGATGTATTGCATTTTCAGTCACTTTTGTATTTTCTTCACAAGGAAGAGTGGGAGGTTTCCTCTTGGTGGGTAATATTGTTCCTGGAGGGCCATTGTTCAGCTAAGTTTAGCTCCAACCATAAAAAAAAAAAATGCCATAATCTCTGAGACCTTGATTATATTGTTCAAGTGTGTTTGATTAGGATTGGAGCTAAACTCTCCAAGGACACTGGCCCTTTAGGATCAACGTTCCCAACACTCTTGCCCTATTAGATCATATTATTAGTTTCTAAAAATAAGTAGAATTAAACAAACGAAAGAACACTTTATTTGTTAAATGTTAAAATGGCTTGCCATATTATAGTGTTTGCATAGATTTGCTGAACAGTGAATAATAATGGCTGCTGATGGAGCTGTGTTTGTTTTTTTAGGTGTATTACTGGAGAGAAAGCAGTCGCCTGCCCTGGCACGTTGTGACCAGGAGGATTAAGACCAAAAGTTTTAAAGCTAATGGACCACGTCTGTCCGGGACTCTGACTGGTCTTGTCCCATTTAGTAACTACAAGATGTACATAGTAGTGGCTAATAACCGATATGAAGGGCCGCCCAGCCACAACATTGAGTTCCAGACTCCTGAAGGAGGTATGAGAGCATTTACAAAGCACATTGTATACATACAGGCACAAATTCACACATTTCTGCTTTTCATTCCAGTGCCCACCATTCCCAGATCATTCAGGATCATGCATCGCCACTATGACACCCTTTACCTGGACTGGGAAGAGCCTGCAGAACCCAACGGTGTTCTCACTGGATATATTCTCAAATATCAGTCATGTAAGTGCACTTCATTTTAATTTTTTAAGCATTAAGATAAGTGCTTTATAAAAATATTTTATATAAAATGGTATTTCATAATATTACCGTTTTCAAACAGACAGTTAAGGCCCACTTGTGAACCTTGGCAAGCTTCTGGCTCAAGATTATTTTAAATAAAATGCAAAAGCAAGTCAATAAAAACAATAAAAAAATGTAGTATGCATTTTATTTACTAGAAGTTTTGCTATTATTTGTATGACAGTAACAGTTTGAGCTAGTATGAGGGAAATAAACTTATAAAAATAAATAAAAGATTAACTGACACAACCTTTATTAACCATATTATTTTTCGCCATGTTTATGCTCTCGTGCTCACCAAGGCTGAAATTATTTGATTAAAAATACAGTAAAATTCTTTTAAAATAATTTAGTATGCAATTAATTCCTGTGATGGTACATCTGAATTTTAAGCATAATTCCTCCAGACTTCAGTGTCACGTCCAAATCTCATTCTAATATGCCAATTTGGTGCTCAGAAACATATCTTAATATTCTCATTTTGCAATTTTTTTGTGGAAACTGTTATACATTTTTGAAGGTTCACTGATAAATGCACTGTTAAATATCGCAATGTAACATGTCCAACATACTGTTTGCAAAGCTTCCAGTTTTGTCTTTCTAAAAAATGTTGAATTCCTTCAAATTGTTATTGCCTTTTTCATATTTTGATTATATTAACATATTAAAGTTGCCTTCTCTTTTGAAAATAACTAAGCACATATACACTTTAAGAATAACAATATCATCTCTGTAGTGAATGTCAGTGTGGGAATCCAGGTAGAAAACATCCCTCCTAACATCACTTACTTCTCTCTGCGGCGTCTTGACCGATACACCCGGTACAAGTTTTCTCTGGCAGCACAAACTGAGGTTGGAGTTGGCGAGGCTTTTACAGAGGAATCGCCCCATTTCACAACTGAGGGTAACTCGGTTACATTATAAGATCATCATTCTGTAAACACAAAACGGTTTCTAACACGTCTGCCTGATCGTGTGTTTGCATGCCTGAGCAGAATATACCCGGGATCAAGTAGACATCGTGACGCAGGGATGGTTCATTGGTTTGATGTGTGCAGTTGCTCTTCTTGTCCTCATCATGCTCATAGTGTTTTTCATCAAGAGGAGCCGAGGAGGAAAGTACCCAGGTACTAGATATATTACTTGAAGATAAGTTAATCTGATCACACTTTATTTTAAGGTACAATTGTGGCTATTAATAAACTATTAAATATGACTTTTGCCTCAACACACTCCTAATTTGCTGCTTATTAATAGTCATCAAGGTAGTAGTTGCATTTAGGTATTAGGTAGGATTGGGGTGTAGAATAAGATCATGGAGAATATGTATTGTAAGTACTATAAGTAATAAGTAATACTATAAGTTATAAGTACTAATTAACAGCCCATATCTTTATAATAGGCGGTAAATAAGACAATAGTTAATGGTGAGAATTGTTATTTAAACTAAAGTGTTATTATTTTTAGGCCCCATTTACATGGCAATGGATTTAGGTCAATCAGCAAAAGTTTATTATAATTTCTGCCTTCGTCCATACAACACCAGCATTTGTCAGTTCGCTGAAATGGACTATTTGGATAAGAGGGTATAGAGTGGAACAATTTTAAAAAGCTGTGTAGATAGGCAAAATAGCACTTCTTGGAAAGATGATGCCACAGTACCATGTGACAAGAGGGAGGAAAAACCTTGCACATAACAACCACTAACAACAACAATGGTCATTACAGAGCTGTGTTTTGCTGCAAATGCTGATAAGTTTATTAGCATTAGTACAACAAAAATTGTATTAGGACCAGTAGAGATGCATTGACAGTTACATGTGTGAGATATTCTTTAATCCAGTTTAGTTTACATCCGTACTTTGTGCGCTGAAGAAGAACTTCATACTCACCATAGATATTTACATTAGATGTAGCCTATGCTATAGTTGTCTATTAAAAGGAATGCGTCAATACAGCCGCCTTTTTAGTACAGGGAAGCGCTCTTTTGAAATGAATGTGGGACCAAGGTGTAGTGAAGGACTGGCCATCCAGAGCCAGAGATACACACACACACACACACACACACACACACACACACACACACACACACACACACACACACACACATATATATATATATATATATATAAGATCAGGAGTTTTTCAGGTGGTCCATATGCAAATATTTTTTTTAAATTACGAAAATTATAATTTTACATCACTGTTCTACATTTTACATAAAATGTATTATCCTGACTCTCTGTTAAATTTGATCTAATGTATGTCCTGAAACACACCCCCTCCCTTGCCCTCACTTGTTATTCTAACGGGGAGAGCAATTGTTTGTGAATGAATCTCCGTTATGAACGACTCGTTCTCTTAGCCGACAATAATACACGTTTCTGGCACCGCAGCATCTTGTTGGTTGTCAAATTTCATTTCCATTGTTTGCTTATTTTATTCAACAAAACTAGCTCAAGCCTATTATTTAGTGTGAGTTGGTGCGGCTTTGCCTTACGGTTAATGCAGAAATTTTATATATTATCATCAATATGTTAGCACATATGTTAACAAACAAAAGCCTAAAAAAGTAAATTTTATCTATGAAATGTTCTTTATGCTTTGTTTTCTTTGTTTGCTCGTTACTACACCCGTACAAAGCGCTGAAGTCTAGCATCTTCACATTGGCTTTAGTGAAGAATAGTGTGGTTGAATGACATTTGTCCTCGGTGCACTGTACAAATGTGGCAACGCTATTGACACATGCTCAGGGTCCGTATGCAATATCTAGTGTATATATCTATGTATACTCACTGTATTCTTCTGTGATTTTAATGTATCCTGGGGCTCTTTCTGTGCTTGTTTACAGCCCCACATATAGGTGTGGCATACATATCACATTGTTTTAAAATAGTTTTCCACCTTAACACTAAATTTTTAAAAACATTTGTTTATGGACACAACTGTTTCGGAATCTGCCAAAGAAATAAAAAATGTATCTTTGCTATCTGGACGTAGCGTTATAAAATACTGTTTATAATAAAAGTTTTAATATTTTGTATGTTTGTTTGTTTTATAAGTACGGGACAATAAGGACTTTGCACTGGAGCCGATGGATGAAAACGGAACCTTTGATTACAGGTGAATGTTTTTGATGAGTAGCTAAAAAATCATCTCTGGCCTTCCTGTTTGAGTTTAAAAATTATAAATGCTTTCTTAAACTGCTCCTATTATTCTGTTTAGGCTCTGAATTTAGTTTTGGAGCTAGGTTTCTTGTGAAAGGTTTATATGCAAGGTCAAAAAACACATTTAATCTCATTTCTCAAAGAATTTTGAATACCAAAACAAAAATTTTACAAATATTTTTTTTCTTTTTGTTTATTATGAAATATAAAACCCCTGATTTTAGACGTTCATTTAAATAATGCAGCATTTTTTGGTTGATTGTCCTCATGTTGCTTATAGCCTATAGGGAGAAAACTTCTATGACGAATATGAAATATAATTGTAATTGTAAAGCATAGCTTGAACTGGAATTGTTAACAGCTTGTTCCAGCAGATCAGAATCAAATCTTTCTTTTAGGATGTATACTTTATTTCTGTAGTACAGATCTTTTAGATCCATAAACAGCTACATTAAACACTACACAAAAGGTAAGATTTGAAAAAGCATAATAGTGGCACTTTAAGTCTGTTTATTATAATGGCATTTTATTTTCAGTTATGTACTTGCATGAAAACAGCATGTGAGGTGTATTAAACATTTGAAAATTAATTAATCTTATTATTTACACGAGGGGTGCTCAACCCTGTTCCTGGAGATCTGCCTCCCTACATATTTCAGTTGCAACCCATATGAAACACACCTGCCTGCAAAAATCAACTGCTGTTCAGCTCCTAATTAATTGGTTCAGGTGTGTTTGATCAGGGTTGGAGCTGAACTACGCAGGAAGGCAGATCTCCAGGAAAATGGTTGAGCCTCCCTGATTTACACCATCATATTATCGCATTAGCACAGGTTGATATAGAGAATACACTGTATATCACAATAATTATCCCTTTTCTCCCTCCCAAAGTCATAATTGATCCCTTCATTCATTAAACATTTCTCACTTTGTTCATTCCTCCTGTATTTTGTTTTTTTTTTTATATCTTTTGCGATTGGACCACTGAAGGTCTCTTGAGAGGTATGATACATGTGAAATATGTGTTTGTGTCCTATTAGTTTTATTTTAATAATCAGTTAACTTCAAATTGTCTAGACGGTTTTTATACTACTGTTCAAAAATTTGGCAAACTAATTTCAGAAGTGACACATTCAATTGATCAAAGCTGACTAACAAATTTGTAATGATACATAGGATGTTTCACTATACTGGAAAACTATCATGGTTCCACAAAAATATGAACATCTTTAACCCAATAAGATGACCTGAAATGTTTCTGACATAATGATCAAAGTATACTTTGAATGAAAAGAAATGTCACAATATTAGTGTTTTTACAGATTTTTTGAAAACTTTTGAATGGTTGTTTTTTTATTAATCAACTAGTGTCACAATTTACATAATTATTTATTTACATTATACTACTTTGCATAAACAATATTAATTGTATCTTTTTTTATATCAGGATAACACGAGTGTCCACCATACCTTATTCCAGACGGTTTGTATTTCTTCAATTTTCAAGCATTTTTTTTTTTGTATATCTGAGAATATATCTGAAATAAATAATCTCTTCCTCAGTGAAGAGGAAAGTCGTCAGGGACGAAGTCAAGGTGCGATCGAGCACATTAACAGAAGAACCAACAGTGACGACAGCCTGATGGAGTATGGTGAAGGAGAAGAGATGGAGTTTAATGAAGACGGTTCCTTCATCGGAGAATATACAGGCGTCAGTAAGAGGAACATGGACAGGAGCCCATATCATGACAGCTCTGAGCCCACATCTCCTGTGGCCATCTACTCTTTTGCTTAAACGCCCACATTATGTCACCTTTACACACTCAGACTGAGACTATGATCCATTTAATCTGTCAGACTGGCTAGAAATGACAATAGTATCTGGATGCAGCCTTTATGATGCAAGCTGAGGTTGCATCGCTCAGAGATGCAATGTCAGACACAATGCACTCAATGGAGTTTAGTGACGCATAGTGACATCACTGATGATTAGGGGTGTGGTTAGGTGAACAGATTAAAAAGCATTGGATGAAGCTCAGATTGCATCTGCACCGAGTTTGCAGCCAGATCCCTCTCGGAAATAAGGTAATTTAAAGAAACACACTGCTTATTTTGGAAATAGGCTCATTTTACATTTGAGCCTTACCGCTAGAGTAAAACAGTTGTGTTTCACCATTTTTTCATCCATTCAACCGATCTCTAAGTCTGGCAAATGCACTTTTAGATTAGTTTAGCTTAGCTTAGCATAAAACAATGAATTGGATTAAACCATTAGCGTCTCGTTCAAAAAAAAATTAACACATTTAGATAAATTTCCTATTTAAAGCTTGATTTCTCTCTAGTTACATCATGTACTAAGACTAACATAAAATGAAAAGTTGTTCCAACGTAATAATCAAGGTCCTTTGCTGCCGTAACATGGCAGCAACAAACAAAATGGTAAATGGCCGGCAGCTAGCTCTCTGCAACTCTCACATGGTCGCCCACTGAAGCTAAGCAGGGCTGCGCCCGGTCAGTACCTGGATGGGAGACCACTTGGGAAAGCTAGGTTGCTGCCGGAAGTGGTGTTAGTGAGGCCAGCAGGGGGCGCCCAACCTGCGGTCTGTGTGGGTCCTAATGCCCCAGTATAGTGACGGGGAGACTCTATACTGCTCAGTGAGCGCCGTCTTTCGGATGAGACGTTAAACCGAGGTCCCGACTCTCTGTGGTCGTTAAAAATCCCAGGATGTCCTTCGAAAAAGAGTAGGGGTTTAACCCCGGCATCCTGGCCAAATCTGCCCACTGGCCTCTGTCCATCATGGCCTCCTAACCCTCCCCATATCATGATTGGCATATCATCACTCTGTCTCCTCTCCACCAATCAGCTGGTGTGTGGTGTGCGGTCTGGCGCAAAATGGCTGCCGTCGCGTCATCCAGGTGGATGCTGCACACTGGTGGTGGATGAGGAGATCCCCCCCCATTGTGTAAAGCGCTTTGAGTGCCCAGAAAAGCGCTATATAAATGTAACGAATTATTATTATTATTATTAACCCAGCACTAGGGCTATTTTCAGATGCACAATTTCACTGTGTCTGATGCAGCTATGCTATGGTAGCAAAGTTCCTTGATTATTACGCTGAGATGAATGTATAATTGCTAGCTATATAGACCTTAAAAATATATATATATAAAAAAAAAAAATCTGTCAGTCTCAGTACATGATGTATACTGGATATTCAAGCTATGAATAGGAAAATGATCAACCCTTTTTTTTAAGCGAGATGCTAATGGTCTAATCTGATTTAATAATTTATGCTAAGCTACGCTAAAAGATCGGAGATCAGATAAATGGATTCGAAAACTGTAAAACTCTGGTAAAAGACTTGTATAATGAGCTTATTAGCGGGATGCTAATGGTCTAATCTGATTTAAAGATTTATGCTAAGCTAAAAGATCGGAGATCAGATAAATGGATTCAAAAACTGTAAAACTCTGATAAAAGACTTGTATAATGAGCTTATTTCCAAAAAAAGTGGACTGTTTCTTTAAGAGTAAAACAGTGTTTCTGGTGATTTACAGTAGAAGTACCAATCGTTTTTCAAATCCACAAATCATGTGCGAAAAAAGCCAAGCAAAGATGTGTTTATCATGTTGATAAGAAGACTGAAAGGAAATGCAAGCTTGATTCGCTGAACAAATGCATTCTTGTGTTATAAACTAATATTCAGAGTCAATTTACACAGCTTCACTGAGAGATGTTGAGTTTTAGAAAATCCCACAAAGCTTTATCTAACCAAATGACTTTTGTAAATCACTGATAGCTGCCAATAGTTATTGTCTATTTTATTTTTCTATGTATTCATGTGTATTTACTGTACTGTTGGTCACATTAATAGACTACAAGACATTTTTCCTTACACAAAATTCTATCTAACCATCTGCTGCTTATTGTAGTATGATGTATATGATGTCTATTGCATATTTTTTGAGTCTGGTTAAAAAAAATACTATCATAAGTTTTTTTGTCAATCATTCATTCATTCATTCATTTTCCTTTAGCTTAATCCCTTAATTATCAGGGGTGACCGCAGCGGAATGAACCGTAAACTATTCCAGCATGTTTGACGCAGAGGATGCCTTTCCAGCTGCAACCCAGTTCTTGGAAACACCAATTCATTTACTTTCTCTCACACACACACACACACACACACACACACACACACACACACACACACACACACACACACACACACACACACACACACACACACACACAACGGCCATTTTTAATTCATCCAATTTACTTTGGACTGTGGGGTAAATCGGAGCATTCTGAAAAAAAAACAACAACACATGAACAACATGCAAACTCCACTTAGAAATGCCAACTGACCCAGTGGTGACTTGAACCAGCAACTTTCTTGCTGTGAGGCCACAATGTTAACCACTGAGCCACTGTGTTGTCATTTTTTTCTGTGAGGAACAGATCAAAGTATGTAGTCTTGTGTTTCGCCAAGGTTAACATCTATCCCATATGATCATGAATAAACAATATCAACACTTTCGAATTTGAGAGAATTTTCCAATTAGAAGCATAGATCACATAGAAATGAAAGTGTGCCATTTTAAATTTAGGTTGAACTTTGCCTTTAAGAGCCTGTGATGAGGCCGATAAGTCGATATTCTCGGCTAGAGAGCAGTGTTGCGATTGGAAATTTGTACCCATGTTTTTTTTCAGATACATCTGACTAACTATATGGTGGTTATAAACTTCTTTTTACATTTTACTAGTATATATAGCTAAAATCATAACATTTGATGTCAGAGTTGCCATTTAAAGCTGGTTGAACCTCCTTGAAATTTGCCTTAAATGCTCAATACAAATAAACTAGACATGCACAAACAAACGTTGATGTTCCACAGTTCAGACATTTCCCCTTATGGTTATATTTCAGTTTTAAGTTTATACATTGAAATTCCACTTTTTTTTTTCTTGGAAGTGAGATAAAAATACTGTCACAGAGAAATTCAGAAAGGCAAGGGAAAGCCACAATTGACTTTTAGAATGATTATCACAATGTGGAATAAGCTTTCCATAAAAATAAGTACAAGTTCAAAGGTTTGTTTAATATCTGTGCTAAACAAAGTCCTGTGTGTGCTTAGACAATCACATAAAGCAGTCTTTATCTGTGCATGAGAGCCATATATTACAGGATCATTTAAGGAGACCAAGTCCTTATACTGTCTAGTGTAGAGTATGTTCTGAAATTCGTTGTGTTTATGCATTCATTTACAAGTTCTCTTGACATTGCCTTCTGGTGTGATCTAAAAATGTAGCCTACTAACCACATCTTTCCTGATATGGGTGCTTGAGTCATTCTAGTCCTGCTAGACATCAGTGCTGCTTTTCATAACATAAAGTATGTCATACAATCCTATTTGATTGGTTGCTTATTTTGGCACCTCTGATATTGTGCTTCAGTGGTTTCAGTCCAAAACAGCATGTTTGAATGAGGGACAACAAGTCTGAGGCAACATTAGTCTAGCAGAAACAGCCACAAGGGTCAGTACCATCGATGTTCAAAATAGGGCCTTTGATTTTGCCCTCCATCCCATTTGCCCTCCATTCCATTTGAGAAGAGGGGAAGAACGATGTTTGCTTCTTGAAATGAAATGTTTGACCTAAATGGTGTAAACTAATCAAATTTAGGTTAAATTTACATAACCGGACGCGTAGAGAACAAATCAAGGCAAAAGCAGATTGCGCTTGACCAGTGTATTCACTGTTGAACTCCACTGTGTTATAATGTAATTTATGTTTGTTGTTTATGTTTTTATTCCAATAAGTTATCATTTTAAATGTTATATTGCACCAGTTAACAAGATTTAAAGTAATGTTTTAGACTTATTTTTTAAATAAATGAGGAAATTACCCTCAATGATAGTTGGGTTGTGGCCCTTTATACAAAAACTTTTTGGCACCTCGGTCAATACTCTAACCCTTGTTGCCATTCCTGAATATACTACCATCATGTCAGCCATACCCAGAGATGCTCTGCCAAGATGTACCAGATGGGCAAGCATCATGGCAGATCCACCACTGGTGTCAGTTCAAGCAGCTGGCATCCTCTGGTACAATCCCAGCCATGTATTTTGTTTTGTGCTCTCCATTGGCTCTGTTCTTGTACCTGTGCTCTCTTTTTGATCCTCATGGCTTCCCTTGTTAGTTTCCCAGTGATTATCATACACCCCATGGGAACTCATTATCTTGCTAGCCCTTATATTTAAACCCATGTGTTTCAGATGTTCTTGGCAAATTGTTGTTTGACATGTTGTGTTTCCTCGATTGAGCCCTGGATTGCTGTATGTTCTTTTTTTTGTGTGTACTAGTTATTAAGAGTTTTGCTGCACTTATATCTTCTCCCGTTGTTCCATGTAAATGCACCTTTCTTCTCCCCTTGCTATAAATAAATAAAATTTACTTTTATTCTTATTGCAATATTTTAGGTAAAGTTCAATTTGTTTAAATTAAAGTTTACAATTTAACCATTCAACACTGTTATTTGGAGGTTTTAAAATTTTTGTTTGACCTAGTTTAACTTTCCTTTGTTTTCTTTTCCCATCATCATTTGTTTACCTTGTCAACCCAATCGTTCTACACGCCTATTCTGTTTTCCAATAATTACCCATTTTACCCCTCATTTTGTCCAGCTCCTTGTCAGGTATTTTTGTTACTCATTGTGTCTTCTTGACTGCAGAATTATCCCTCATTTTATCATTAAAAGACTCATTGTGACCTTCTTCTTTATCCTATATGCTTTATTGCAGTAGTGTGACAACTGTAATACAGAAGACGATTTATAGACTAAGCTGATATTGATAATCCAGTCAATTTATTGGGCCATAAAGACAACCTGGCATAAAGAATAAATGACAGACAATAATATTCCTGTCAGTTTATTGGTCCATAAAAACAAACAAACCGTTATAAGGAAGATTACAGTACTTAAAAGTCAGCCTGACAGAAAATGATCAGGCCAGACTAACCTTTAACCCAATCATACACCTAAACACGAACCCAGAGGGTCAGTGTCCTGCAGAGCTTAGCTAAAACCACAGCGACTGTACATTTCTATTATAGCCTCAAATTTGCACTTAGTGCTTCGGGCAACACTTAAACACCACCGCTCTGAGGCATGTAAAATGTTTTTACGTCGGCTGCTCTCAACACTTTCTCCATGCCACTGTCAATACCATAATGCACTGTTTGGGGGTTTACACTCAACTTGAATGAATTGAAAACACTGGCTATGCTGCGCTCCTAACATACCAGTGGAAACACACTGTTTGACACACCTAAAAAAGCTAATCAAGCTCTACTAAGGCATATAAAAAACTTCCAGGCAAGTGTGTTTGGACAAGTTGTAGATAAATTCTGGAGGACACTGGCTTGTCTGAGTGTGGAAACCCCTGCTGTAACCTATTTTGTTCATCTTGGAACATTTGTAGTCCAAACTTACATTACCTACACCTAAGCTTCACAATATCCAAATGTTTTTTCCTGACATCAGATGGAAATAATAGGTGAATAACAGTGACGTAGAATCACTTAATTGTAGGTCTAACATAACATTTGGATATTGACAGTAAATTCACTCTTAGTTAGGAATGAACAGTATCTAGCACTTTGCTTTTTATAAAGTACACCTAGATGTTCTTGTTTGAGAGCCATGTTTTCTGTCCTGGAATGTAAAGGGGATTGTCGGACATGCAGACATCAATACACCACTTCTGTATGTGAATGGTCCTTAGCATTGAGTCTCAGACCTTCTCACTCATCTCCTGGAATTAATTTAGGGCCTACTCACACTATGCCATCCGTACCGTGCCCATGCCCGTTTCCTGGATCGTTTAAGAAGTGTGAGTGTGCTGAATCGGGCTCAAGCACGGTTCACTTGGCTGGCCCTGGCCCGGTTGGAAGAGGTGTGCCTGAGCGCGGTTCACTTGGGCTTTGGAGCGGTACGCTTGTGTGTGAGTGCAAAACGCGCCAAAGCCCGAAACTGAAAGCGATACGTGACTTAAAGGACTGTTTCATATAGATTTATTAATCATTCTTACTATTCAGTAAACGCAAACTGCCGTCGTTTATTAAAGACGCAAACTCCTCACTTCACGACAGCTGCGCGCCTTCAGCAGACCTCCTCATTCCTGGAGCATGAGAGCTTTATGATTGTTTATGAGCGCCAAAATTGGCGGATCTGTACGGCGAAATATCTGACTGTGTGTCCCCGCATACCTAAGGACTGTTTGGTGAAATATTTGATGGCATATCAAACGACTGAAACGATATAACTAGGGAAATCTTCACTGTGCTGCTGAGTGAGAGAGCGCTTCCCACTGAACAGCCCAGCAGCGATGACGTAAGTGTGCCGAAGCCCGTTTGTGGTGTGAGCGCGGGCCGTCGGGGGAGACGGGAGGGGGGACAAGCGTGCTTTGGCCCAGTTCGAGGCAACTGTACTTAGTGTGAGTACGGCCTTAATGACTGACTGACAGTGACTGACTGAGAACATCCAATGGTTTGCCAGACATGGATGCTTTGAAGCTTATATGGATTGGAGAGAAAGGTGTGGAATGCTGATAAAGCGAGTTTTGTGTGAACTCAGCCCACTGGCTCCAGAAGTGCTGATTCAATTCAATTCAATTCACCTTTATTTATATAGTGCTTTTACAATGTAGATTGTGTCAAAGCAGCTTAACATAGAAGATTATAGTGAATTGAAACAGTGTCAGTGCAGTTTTCAGAGTTTAAGTTCACTTTAGTTCAGTTCAGCTAGTGTGGGTTAATTTTCACTGCTGAAAGTCTAAAGACTGAAGAGCAAATTCATTGAGGCACAGCTCCACAAGTCCCAAACCATGCAAGCCAGTGGTGACAGTAGTGAGGAACAAACTTCACCTATTTGCGAAAGTAAAGGAAAAAAAAAACTTTGAGAGAAAACAGGCATAGTTGGACACAATCATTTCTCCTCTGGCCAAATGTCTTGTGCAGAGCTACAGTCTAGGCACCGGAGGCTGGAGAAAGCTGGACATCCATCGTGGAAGCTGCTGGTGGTGGTTATAACTTAGAAGAACCTAGGAAAGAGTGACAGTCACATTGAGGACTTTAATGAAAGCTTCCCATACCTTTGAGTAAGTCATTGGTCAACTGTAGTAAACTGGAGTAAACACTGACATAGAAATCTGGAGTCCAGACACCTGGATTATGTACTTACATCCCATTTTTGTCATTAGACATGCTAGATATGTTGAAGTAACATATCAGATGGGTTTTGTTGGAGGTGGGGTCTGATGGATGTTATTATTGTGCTCCTGATGGAAATACACAAAATTGAAGAGCAAGGCAGGGCAATTCTAGTGCATGGGCTGGGGGGGCTAGTGTCCCCATATTGACAAACTTGGCCACCAATCTGTCTCCACTAAATTTGGGATTGTAGAGTAATAGAACAGTGACAAAGGCTTTTATAAAAATGACATGCACTGTATATAAAACCAAATTGATTTGTTAGTTAAGTATTTTTGTGCATATCTTGAGTATTTTGTGTGTGCACATTAACAACTTTTTGCAGAGAGCAAGAAATTATGGAATCTCTTTGTGGAAATAACAGGAAACATGAACAAATTCATAAAAGACAAATCATTTATAGAAAATAATGCCCAATATATTGCTATACTCCCATCTTACCATTATATAAGCTCTAATAAACCTAATATATGAGGCAAACATAAACAGCTTGCCAATAAGCACTAATAATAAATGGACACTGCAACACTAAAATCGCTGATTAATTTGCCTAAAATTGTTTTTAATAATTATTTTATGACTACATATTAATATTCGTGACAATTGTGAGGATTTTGTGTCGCTCTTTCATGCCATGTGGTCTTGTTTTCTTCGCAATGTGTATAGCGTTCTCTCTGGTCGTGTCATGTGATTTGTTCCCCTTCCTGCCTGTTATTAGTGTTTCGCATGTTGCGGCTGTGTAAGATTCCCTTCACCTGTCTTTGTTTAATCAGTGTATGTATTTAAGTCCTGTGTCAGGCAGAGCTCTGATGTCTTCACTTGTAAGTGACTACTGTGTTCCTGTTCAATTGTTAAAATTTGATTAATAAATTGAAACCTTTTATATACGGTTATCAAAGCATTTGTTAAGAAGATTATGACAGTAATAATGACTAGGCAAATTTTATATAAAAAAAGATAAAATAAAAAAGTCTGTCAGATACTTTCCTTATATTTTCAGGTAGACAACAGGGATCTAACAGTGAGGGAAAAACAAAGGAGACTGGAGACCTGAGCGACAGAACAGGTAAATAGTAACATTGTAGTGATCGTTTTTATGCTCTTCTTACTCTACATTTGACATGTGCTCTTGTTTATTCAATCTTGATTTCGTGCTTGATTTATGCCATTAAAAAAAACCTAGTGCATTTAATGGGTTTCCATGTCAAGTAAGAACATGCAGACCACTGAGGCCAGATTGCAATGAGCATCTATTTTTCTTGTCTGTTAATTCAGGTCTTGGTTAATCATCACGTATAGGAGTGAATTTAGTGTGTGTGGGTTAAAAGCTCATACGGCTTACTCCTGACTGATATAAACATCATTCGAAGATGACCGGATTCATTTTTGTAGCTGGTGAGTGATGGAGATATAAAAATATATATAAAATATATGTAAAAATGCTTTTATATATAATTTGTTTAAAACTGAATTTGGTTTTTACTTTTGTTATTAGGCATTTCCTTGGCATTGTGCCAATGTGGTAAGTTTTCTTTGTTTTAAAACTTAATGGAAAATGCCTTTTCCTACAGATTTTGAAGTTTATATTTTGCACTTTCAAAGTTCAGATTAAGATGACATCTTGCAGTGGTGACTTTAGATTAAGTTTATGCTGAAAATTGAGTTATTCCCATTTATTGCAGTGTTGAGTTCAAGTTGCAGGTCTTCACACCTGAATCTCGCAACTGTTTACACTCTTGAAAGTTTCTATTGCATCTTGTTTCCTCAGAGCTGCATGCTTACATTTTAAGAATTCTTTTCTCAATTCTGATTTTGTAAATTCTTAATTACAAGTCAATTTGCCTTTTTTTATTTTCATCTATTTCTTGACTTTTTACCGGAGTTTACCTCAAATCTGTTTCTCAATTCTGTCACTATTCCTCAGCTATAATCTGAAATACAAGCTCAGTTGCAAGAGCAATAGTCAGTTGTAAAAGTTGTAACTTTTTTTTTTGTGCTGCAGAATATCTATATACTGTATTCTATTTCTTTGCTTGGTCTATCTTGATTTACACTAATTTTATTTAATAGTACAAACTTTTCTTAAAGGTTCAATTTACTGTACCTGCTACACTGTTGCATGCATGCAACTTTTATAACTAATTGTGTTTTTAAGTGTTTTGAACTGATCGTATTGGTGCATATTAGTCTAAGATTTGTTCATGACAATGTATTGAACAAATATTTGACATGGAAGTTTTAGGCTTGTACGTTGAATTCATTGAATTTTTTTTAATAGAGGTTCAGTTAGATTTCTTGGTAAAAAAAAAAAAAAGCAATTTTCAGCTCCAAGTCGCTTGAAAGGTACAATTGCAGGAAGCAGTTGTGTTTTGTAGTACGATTTTAATTTTTTTTTTCTTTCTAGGATTGGCGTCCCAACTTGCATGTTACTTCGCCAACTGGTCTCAGTACAGACCTGATGTTGGCAAGTACATGCCATCTAGTGTGGATCCACATCTTTGCACTCATTTAATTTATGCATTCTCTGTTATTAATATTAAAAATAAATTGGCAACCTCCGAATGGAATGATGAGACTCTTTACCAGTCTTTCAATGCGCTAAAACAAAGGTGCACTGATTTTTCTGGCCATATATTAGTTTCAGCTTTACTGCGTAGTATAATCTTAATAGTTATTTATTTGCTGAAGGGCATTATAGTGAATGATAAATGTTTGACTTGACAGCAACCCCAACCTGAAAACTCTGTTGGCTGTCGGCACATTGAACTTGGGCTCAACTCAGTAAGTCCTGCTGTATTTTGTTGTTATATAAGGTATTTGCTATATTCTGTTGCTGTATGTTTCTCTCAATGACCTCAGATTCAGCAGAATGGTGTCCACGCCACAAAAGAGACGGACATTTATTGAGTCCAGTATCAAATTCCTGAGGACCCATGGATTCGATGGTCTGGATCTGGACTGGGAGTATCCTGGTTCTGGTGAAAGTCCTCCAGAAGACAAGCATAGATTCACTTTGCTCTGTAAGGTACAATATTGCATGAATATAATTAGATTTATCACTTATAATTCTATCTATGCTCTTTAAATAAGTTAATGGCATGATTTAATATTTGTGTGAAACTGTCCATGGTTAGTGTTTGTTATACAAGATTTTATTTATTTTTTTAATTTATTTTTTTATTTTATTTTATTTTTTTTAAGAAAATAGAACTACTTATTTACTTTCCCTCAGGTCGTTGAATGATTTTTTTTTTCCCTCTGTTTCATTCGATGACAACCTTAAATGTTCATGGAAGAATTTTGGATGTCTCTATCATTGGTGTAACCATTTAAATTGTGCAATTTGTAACCTGGTAAAAAGTAAAGAGCTTGAAAAGTGCCTTGAGGCACAACAGAACATTTTTAGATGGAGAAATTTTCAAGTCTTCCTAATTTACTGAGTAAATTTCTTATTACAGATGGTCTTGGAAGTAATATATAAAAACATTATATAATATAGTCAGGAGCTGTTCACTTAAGAGGGTTATCAGTTTAAGAAATTCAGATCCATGCACTGGATTATGCCAAAGTCCCTTTAAAATGAGTCCTCTCACTTGGTGGCCACCTTTGAAAATCCTCGAGCTGTGTGCTCGGACATTTTAGGGAAACTATAGGGAAACATCAAATTCTCTAACTGTTTGCCAAGTTTATGATTGTATAACGTATTTGGAATCACCAATAAAATAAACAACCATACGTTTCATTTTTTTTAAATGTTCGAATTAAACAAGACTTATTTTTTCAGGTTGCCCAAGCTAATGTGCATGCCCACTCAAAGAACGAGATACGACACCAACCTCATTTATGGCTATTCAACACATTATCCTCTGGAAATATCTTCGTCTGATTGCACTAGTCATCAGAAATGCACAACTATTTGTGGGCATCCGAGTACTTGCTGTCATTTGATTTTGACAGGACTGACTGTACCTCATGTTTTTTCTAACATTACATTTAATTTTTTTACATTTTAATCAATCCCCTCTCCCCCCCTCTACAATAATACATTCATTTAAAAGAGATTTCAAACTTTGTGGATCTTGTCTAAAGTTTTTACTTTGATTATAGTGTGTTTGACCACAAAAATATGTCTGGGCTGAGCTTCTCCTACAGAGAAATGTCTGTCTGTAGCAATGATGATTGGCTCCTGTTATATTAGGCAGGACTTTCTTCGCCATATTGGCCATTACAACTTTTTTTTTTTTTTTTTTTTTTTCCTTGTTCAAAACTATACAAGTTACATGTCTTGTGTATTTTTATAGTCTTTGTTCATGTGCAGTGTTGGAACTTGGAAGCATGGTCGCCATGTGTTAGCAACGCATTTAAAATACAAAGCCAAAAATGCAATGCAAGAGTAATACTAAAGATACCGAAAGTTAATCTTTTTTTAAATGGCAACACAAGCTACTTTGTCAGATGCCTAAAGCAATGCCTACAAGTCCAGTGTAAATCTGATCCTTTTAGAAGCCATGTTGCCAGTATTTAAAGCTTGGATACAAGCTGTAAAGTGCTATAAAAGGACCATAAATAACTTTCAAACATGTGATTATAACAGGAGCTTTTAAAAGCTTACCAGGCAGAGAGTAAAGCTACTAGACGCCCCAGACTCATGCTCACTGCTGCAGTGGCTGCTAGGAAAGGAATCATTGATGCTGGTTATGAAATTGCAGAAGTTAGCAAGTATGTGTTGGAGTTTTTCATTATTGTAAATAAACTTATTTCATGATTCATCTTTTAAAATTCAAATCTAATGATGATTCAGCTGCTTTTAACAAACCAAGCCCAATCTGACAAACTGATATTTCTCTCTGGTGATGCAGGTATTTGGATTTCATCAATATCATGACCTATGATTTCCACGGCTCATGGGAGAACGTTACTGGACACAACAGTCCTCTGTACAGAGACTCCAGAGACACAGGAGACCAAATCTACTACAATACTGTAAGAACGCTGTGTAATTGCCCTTACTTTGGCTTGAAAATGTAATCCGAGAAATGCGAGTACCGTGACTGTAGTAGGAGTCGAGCCTTCAATGTCATTTAATTCCACAGACGTCATTCTAACCTGTTGAGTTACTGGTCAGTTAACATTTGTTAATGCTTGAGCTTTAGTAACAAATGTGATCTATGCATCATTACTTTTTAAATGCAGGACTTTGCAATGACCTACTGGAGAGATCAGGGCGCTCCTGTGGAGAAGCTGAGGATGGGCTTTGCAGCATATGGAAGGACGTTTTGCTTGTCATCTGCAGTCAATGGACTTGGAGCTCCAGTTAGTGGTCCAGCATCAGCTGGAACATACACCAGAGAAGCTGGATACTGGTCCTATTATGAGGTCTAACCTTTAGTTTAAACGGTTTCATTGTGAAAATGATCAGATTGAATCGTATAATTACATTTCCTGACTGCGTCTCCCAACAGATCTGTACTTTCCTCCAAAGAGCCAGTGTGGAACAAATTGCTGATCAGAAAGTTCCTTATGCCACCGAAGGACTGAACTGGGTGGGATTTGATGACCAGAAAAGCTACGAGACAAAGGTGAGTATTCCAAAGTATAGAACAAATGTTCTCATGCTTTGAGTAACTAGGTCTGGTCTGTTTTAGGTGGACTACCTGAAGGAGAAAGGCTTTGGAGGAGCTTTTGTCTGGTCTCTGGATCTTGATGACTTCAGTGGTCAGTTCTGTGGGCAGGGCAAATACCCTCTTATTGGACACCTCCACACGCTGCTTAATATCAGCAACACTGGTAAAAACATCTCTGTGAAGCCCATTTCCACAACAAAACAAACAATTAATGTAGAATATTGGAACTTAATGTTGAAATTGAGAAAATGATGAGTAGCTGATATTTGACTATATAATTTTGACTATAGGCTACTGTAACTGATTTAGAATCAATAGTTTTATATTTCATAACTTTATACATCTCACAGGTGATATTATAACAATGATAGCTTAGTGCTACGAAATTTAGAATTGTCAGTCTTGATGACGTATCATATCACAATTGAAACTTTTAATCTCATTTCTGACTTGATTTTTAACTTTCACAATGACTTGGTATCTTTTCGAATGCATTTAGCATTCAAATAGCTATTTTTAAGCTATTTCCTCCACTTATATTTCCTTATAAGCCCATTTCCTCAAACCAAATAATTGATGTAGCATATTGCAATGTTAAAATTGAGTCCATTTTAATAGTTTCACAGATTGTATTCATTGAACGAATTTAAAATCTCCTTAATTGACTTAATATGCTATAAGTTTTGCTTGATCTAATCAATGTTATAATTTATGGCTGCTTTCTGCAGAATTCAGCTGCTATCTTGATCAAACACCTGGATTTGTTGAATAAAAGTCCCTTCAGATCTTACATGGTAGGCTTAGCTATGTTTGATCAGGATTGAAGCTCAACTCTTCAGGAAAGTAGATCTTAAGTAACAGGGTTGAGCACCCCTGGCTCAGTGACTTGTAATTAACTTCATTGCAAACTTATTGACTTTAAATAATTATGTAGCAATGAGTATCTCTTTCTTTTCAATAGCTGTTTTGGTCAAATCGACATTTTTACTTTGTCTTAAGTTGTACTTGTTGCTCTGTCGCGTAGTTTGATTTTTAGTATCATAATACAAGTAATTTAGCATAACCCCTCAGTTTTGCCAAAAATAGCTTCCTGACTGCACATATAGGGCTTATTTGCTCAAAAGTAAATGCAAGAATTAAAACGCTTTTATAACTGCAGTAAAGGAATTTAAGTTATGGTGCCATCTGATTTTGTAGCTTCCGATTCATTGTCACTGTGGACTTTAAGAAATATTAGACATTTGGATGTGGGCATTGACCTGTCAAGCCAATTATTTTAACAAGCTATTAAAAACGACACTGATTTTAATAATTGCAAAGCTGATAACATCAAATTCAAATTTCTTCCAGAGTTCAGACACCTTCCAAAAACAATCAAGTCTGGTGGGGCATCGGCAACAGGAAACATTGTTACCACAACACCTATTGTAAAGACTGTTACATCAGGATCAGACTTCTGTGCGGGCGGATTAGTGGGCATCTTTGCAAATCCAGATAATCCCATGACATTCATTCAGTGTGCCAATGGCAGGACCTTCATACAGAATTGTCCTGCAAAGACTGTCTTTGATCCCGACTGCTCATGCTGTAACTGGCCAAAGAATTAACATCTGTTAATCCCACAGTTGGACGCGAAGACTTTCAAATTATACGTTAAGTCCAATTACACAAAGGTGTTTCATGTAACAGATTTCATGTGTAAATCTGTGTGCCACAAGTTTTAACCCACAAACATCTTTGTATTTTGACTTCTGTTGTACCAAAGAGTTTTTCTACACTCCTTGTACAAACTTACCTCTATGTGCATCTGTTATTACTGTAGCTTGTGTGCATTCTAGACCAGGGGTGTTGGAGTTTATAGTTTCAGCACTTACATGTGGCTTTCAAACAAGCCTGATTAACTTTTAATTTGATCAGGAGTAGTTAGCTAAGGTTTAAGTTGTGCAGGGCTGTAGTACAACTGGTTTCTAGAGAGTCAAGGAAAAATTCTCTTGTGAATCAATGCCCCTTATGCATAATTGCAACTTTTAATAAAGAAATTGCAGAAAGTGACCTTTGAGTTCTTTGAATCTTAATATTAGTTTGTCTAATGTTATCTATGAGTATTCAAGTGTATTTATTTATTTAATTAAAAAAAATTATAAAAAAAATTATATAATGGAAACCTTATGATGACCACTTGAAGCTAATCCAGCTACTAGAAGTAGTGCTTAAATTGTCACAAGAATGCAGTGTTTAAGGCCTATAATTAAATAGAAAAAGAGGGAAAACTACTTTTTGAGGGTTAAAAAAAAAAAAAAACTTTAACATGGCTGGCTACGGGCCTGAATCTTTGACTTTAAATTCAGTGTTCTTTAGATTTCTCAAGCTTCGATAGAGTACAATTATACACCTAGATACTAATAACACTGATTAATTAGGATGCACAATCATTATTTTAATCGTCCTAGCAAATGTTGTCTTTTATTTTATATATATATATATATATATATATATATATAATTTTTTGTGCTAGGCCATTCAAGAGCTAATTATGGGTTTTGTGTGAACTGCATTTCAAGTAGTGTGCAACATTGTTTTAAAGTGACAATGATCAAATGATAAACTTGATTTGTGTATTGCCTTATACTTATACATGATATTGATAGGAATATAGTACATTACTGTACGTGCATTAACTTATGTAAAATATTGCCATTTGTCATCAAGGCAATTTGAATATAAACTTATAAATAGTCAAACATGAAAACAAAGCAGTACGTGAAAAATTTGATTCTTGGGGAGAAACAGGAGTGTTGACGGGTGTAAGTAAACAATACAGTTTTTTTTTTTTATAAGATTATTGCAAAACTACATAGCCTTGTGAAAGTTTGCTCCAAATATTATAACATATTAACTGGTTTCACACCTGAATTCAATTTCTCTATAGCCACTGCTCACCCAGGGCTGATTATTGCCACACCTGTTTGCAATCAAAAAAATTACTTGAATAGGACCTGTTTGACAAAACCAAGCGACCCTCAATAACTCTAATAATGCTGAGAGGCAAAGAAATTCCAAAACTTATAAAGAATTAAAATAATTGTGCTTTGCTGCTCTAGTCTAGAACCATGCAGAATAGTAAAGGACTGCTTTTCCTGATAATTTACTCAACCCCTTTGTCATGCAGGATGTTGATTTATTGCTTTCTTTAAAAATTAATAAATGTATAACAGAGTGATAAGGGAGTGAGCAAATTATCAGCAACCTTTCATTCTGGAAGTAGACTAATAGGTGTGCAAACAGGTTAACTATAAATACGTAATCCATTGAAACAAATGCAGAAGTAATGGCATTAATGTTGCCCATTGTACTTCTCCAATCAGATACACGCTATGGTTTGTTTACCATTTCCTCTTTTAAATTGAATTCCTTTGTTCATTGCTAGATCTGCCCTGGCTAGCTCCAGGTTTTTTTGTAAATGGATAAATAATTATGATATCTATATAATATTTAAAACCCACTGGAACCTTTTTTTTTTTTTATATGTCGCCGACCTGATTTTACCAAGTAGGACATGTTCCTGGATTAACAGCCATGTTGATCCTGGAACAAATTTCCAATCAGTCGATCATAATTATGGGATATATTTAAGTTTAGGCTTATAGTTAGGTTTGTGTATTTCTACGTAATTGCTTTCCAATTATTATTCTTCCCTTCTGATTTTGATTATGGTTTGGTTTAGGGGTAGGGAATGTGTAAGGATTACTTTTTCAGTTGTGTTCTAGGACCAACATGGATGTTAACCCATGATTGCATCTTACTTACGACTTGCATTATATATTTTGCTGACTTGTGTAGGCCCACTTTCATTATCCCAAATGTTCAAATGCAGAAAAACAATCAATTTTAACTTTGCAAGGATCATGTTGTCATAGTGATAATGAGGTCACCCATGATTTTCTAGGGAGCACTGTAAAAAGTGCTACACTCACAAAGTTGGTTCTATCTACTTTAAATAATTGCAATCTAGTTAATTTTATTTGTTTTATACCAAAAAAATAAAATTTGCTTCCTCTTAACTTAAAATATATCAGTTTTTATATAACTGTATATTTTGAATAAAACTAATGCAATTTATTTGAGCAGATTTTTTTACGTGGTTATTGTGTAGAATAAATGTTATAAAAGTGAGTTGACACAGACAATTTATTAGAGCAGCTGTCGATGTGGGCAGGTGTTCATAAAACGTGATTTTAATAGTTATGCGTGACTCCTTTTTCATTGCCCGGGATTTAGCAGGCAGACGCAGCTTCTGCAATGGTCGACATTAACTGCTCCCAGCAGCGGATCTGATTAACACGGTAAGTTGCAAATGTAGCCGAATGATAATTGTAAGGTCATGCAAAACTGCTGTCTTCGCTAGGCAGGTGAGGTTTTAGCTTTGTAAATTGTACTGTAGCCTTAGGTATGTTAACAGTTAGACTGCTCTCACATGGAAAGCTAAGTTGGCTAACGCTAACCAACGCTAGTTTATGCTAACGATTAAAAGTGATATTATTGAGAAAAATAGTGAAAGTAGTTTTAAAACAAATAGTAGGTATAACTAACGTTACAGAACCGATTAACAAGGTCACTGGTGGGCGGTCGGGCTGTGGGGGTTCAGTTTGTTAGCGCTAACTTAGCTAAAGTTAGCTCACCCAAGTTATAGCAGCACATTAAGGATGGATATTAAATGCAGAAACATATGCAACAGTTAAGTAGTTTGTGTTTAACGTAAGAGAAAGTACAACTTAAAGTTTGTGTTTTAGAGATTTATTCCATAAGTTTTTTTTAATGCTGCATAGTGAATAAATTACAGATTTACAATTTATTTTAACTTAAATTACATTTACTGATGTTTACAGAACCATTTAAACTGTATGCACCTCATTCTAAAATGCATGTTCTTGGTCTTTAGATACCAAAGTGATTTTGTTACCTGTGGATCTTCAAACTTCACATCCAGGTAAGAAAAACATTAGATACAACTACAGCTATAATTATTTGCAGGTAAGTAAAACATTGGTAAAATTGCAAACAATAGTGGGCTCCATAGAATTAACCTACATTTGATATCTGAAGATTTTTTTTATGTGTGCAACAGTAAAAACAGTAAAAAAAAAAATAGATATCCTAATGCAGTTTCTTATTATCTGTCAGTCTTTCAATAAAGCTAACTGATAACACTAAATCACTGAACTGTCATTTGCCAGTCACATTAAATTTATAGAAAAAGTCAATTAAATGTAGCTTTAGCAAAAAATTAATGTAAACCTTAATGTAATGTGTAAAATGGCAATGTATTTATTTATTTATTTAATAGAATTTGTATTATGACGTGCAAAGTTTGGTGCAAAATGAAGATGACGATTAAATTATAGAATTTGTATTCTATAATTTTCATATAGCCGTTTTCAAACAGTTTTAATATCTAAATTGCATGCACATTCTTATGCTTTATAAGTTGCCAAACTTACTAAAGGTAACTTACTAAGGTAATTTTTAACTGATAAACTAAGGTGTTTCATCCATGCATCATTCTCACTGCACTTTTGTAACTTCACTTGTAGTTATTTCCTATTCAGTATTTAGCTATTTAATGTTGTTTGGTATCAACCACCTGAACTCCTGTTTCTTTTTGTCTCTACCAATAGAGTTGTGAGGAATCAGAGGTGCATGCAGCTGCCCACAAGAAAAATTTGCCATCAGCCCAACACAGTTTGGATTATCATAGGACTGTCAGAGGTTTGCCAAACCTGTCAAATGCATGATGGCTCCTGTTTGGACTTACCGATGTCCTCGACTTCAAGTATCCATCAAAACTGTATACATTTGAGATATATCAGAGACTCTTTGTGGGGCTGGACATTATGCATCCTAAATCTTCATCAAAATATGCAAATCTCCTCACTGAGTTGCCTTAGATGATTTCTCAATAGGATCTGGTATTATTAATGTTTTTATTTATGTATTGTGTACGTGTAGCCACATTAATGGCCTATTTTGTAGTCACTATTAAAAGGAACATTGATTGATATTGAATACATGTTATGGTCTTTAATCCATCTTCCCATTCTTATTTAATTGTTATTGACAGGAAAGTCTGTTTATCTGTTTTTCCTAGTGTATATTGTGCTTACAATATAGAAACGAAGATTTATTTTCCAAGGTTACAGCCAGAAGTTAATTGAATTCATTTTAAATGACATATGCATGGTTAATTTTATTTAGATAATTAAGTTCATAATACTTAATTAAAATAAGTACAGTCAACATATAGCAATGTATAAGTAAGTTAAGTTTAACAAAAAAAGTAAGTTTATCTGATTTGAGTAATTTTAGAAATATTAGTTGGCTCAACTTAATTTTATTGCATTTGTTTTAAGCAATGTTTTAGTGTTTAAAATACTTAAAAAAGGCTGGAAGTTGAATCAACCTAAAACGTCCGATGCAACCACTTGCCTCACTTTTTATAAGTTAGATCTAGGTAACATTTTTTACAGTGAGTCTGCGGTGTCTTAAAGTATTAAAAGTTGATCAATCAGAGTTGAGAAATTTAAGGCCCTTAAAGTATTAAAGTCTTAAGTGCTATTTTGCAAGATATTAAATTTGTATATAATTTTTGAATATGCAATGTATGGTTGTATAATAAAGTTTGCCTCTGACAATATCAGGATGTTGTGTAGTCAATGAAATCAATAAAATCCTACTAGATTTGACATCCTGCTGCTTTGTTTACTCCAATAATCAAGGCAACATCATGATTTCTGCAGTTCTTTAGGTGCCAACCTGCTGAATTAAATGGATTTAATAGATTTTTATTCAGTATATGAATAATGTTTTAGTTTTGGAATAGTTTTTTACATTAATATTTAAGTTCAAAACTCACCAGTGTTTCTGGTAGAAACCTAAAGTGATTTTACTTCTTAAAATATATGGAACGAGTCTTTAAAAAGGTCTTAAGTTATTGGATTTCATTCTCTGATTCCTGTGTATACTCTATTTTCTGTATGGCTTTACAAAATAACTTAGCGTTTAGTTCGTTGATACCAAACCGAGGGGATAAAGAACCGCCCAAGGTGATCTGAGTTCGAGTCTTAGCCCGAGGTTTTTTGTTGATTCTTACTCTCTCTTTAAATGAATAAATACATATTAATTCATTTATTTTCTTTTCGGCTAAGTCCCTTTATTAATCTGGGGTCGCCACAGTGGAATTAACCGCCAAATTATCCAGCACATGTTTTACGCAGCAGATGCCCTTCCACCTGCAACCCAACACTGGTAAACACCCTCACACTCCTGCATACACTCACATACACTACTGCCAATTTAGCTTATTCAATTCACCCATACCATGTCTTTGGACCATGAGGGAAACCAGAGCACCTGGAGAAAACCCAATCAAGCACAATGAGATTATACATACTACACACAGAAATGCCGACTGACCCAGCCAAGGCTCAAACCAGCGACCTTGTTGCTGGTGAGGCATTGTGCTACCCATTGCGCCACCATGCAAGACTGCACAGAGCAGCATTATAACAGAACTTTAAACTGTATTCAGTAAGATAAAATTATGATCACATGATCACAACCCAAAAAATCGGAGGCAGTCGAAACCTTTCAAAATAAAACTTGAGAATAATTATTGGTAAGTAACACATTCACTCTTATTTCTTCTATTTTCTAAATTCAAACTGTATATGCCCAGGAAAGCATCCACATTTATGTGTAGCATTAATAATGTAAATGATTATAAAGGAATGTTGTTTATTTAATTTAATTTTATTTCTTGCACTAAATTGGACTTGGGGATAACTAAAAAAAAAAAAAAAAAAAATTATAATGTATTGCTAATGTAATGCAAAATGACATTATTATACGTTATATTACATGTGTGTACACTATATATCTTATATATCTCAGTGTAGAAAATTATTTTACTAATGCAGGTTAATACTATTACTACTAATAGTTTTTGTTTGTTTGTTTGATATAATCCATTTAAATAAGTTGTATAATATAGCTAGTACTAATATAATCTTACATGTTGACAATAGAAGAAACGAGAAGTCTAAAAAAAATGCGTAAGAATTAATGGTGGCATTTATTGCTGTCGTAAAGATGTATAGTGAAGAGAAAACCTTTTTTATTTCACCTCTGCTTCCTGGTCTAGGTTTATGATAACCCAACAGTTAAACAATGTGTATATCTTTGGGTTTGAAGAATAAATTTGAGACCATAGTGTGTCCCTTTCTGATGTTTTACGTGGAAACTTTTGATTGAGACATTGAGGCTTAGATAAGGGAACAAGCACTCATACAATTACAATGCAAAAAAGAATGTTGCTTTCCCAACAGTGACATCAACCAGGCAAGATGGGAGAAAAAATCAGCTCTTGTGTGTTTTAGTTAATCATTGTATCATGCAGAAGTGAGGTCAGTGTGTTGGGGGTAAAAGGAAGTAATATAAACAACAATTTCTTCTATCATACATCATTAGCAGACTGATACTCTTGGCTGAGACAACCATCGCTTGAAGATGAGCAGATTCATTTTTATAGCCAGTAAGTGATTGTTGATCTTACAGAACATACTTTTTAATAAAGATGTTGACGGTTCATTTTTACCTCTTTTCAGGCTTTTCACTGGCATTGTGTCACTTTGGTAAGTTTTCTATTTATTTGTTTCGTAAGATTCCAGTAATACTTTATTTTAATGGTCCCAATTGCACATTTTGTTGACTAAAAGTTTCATCTCAACATGCCAATTACTTCTTTTTTGAGTATTAGTAGACTGTCTGCTCAATATCTGTTGATATTGCTCCTTCAACAGACATTTAACTGACTATTAGAAACTTTTCAAGCACAGTTTAAGTCTGAATTATTAGCCCCCTGTTTCTTTTTCCCCCGATTGAGGTTTAACGGATAGATTTGTTCAATACATTTCTACACATAATAGTTTTAATAACTCCTTTCTAATAACTTATTTATTTCATATTTACCATGATGACAGTAAACAATCTTTTCCTATATATTTTTCAACACACTTAAATACAGCTTAAAGTGACATTTAAAGGCTTAACTATGTTAATTAGGTTAACTAGGTAGGTTAGGGTAATTAGGCAAGTTATTAAATAACGATAGTTTATTCAGTAGGGTATCAAAACAAAGTATAGCATAAAGGGGCTGATAATTTTAACCTTAAAATGGCTTTTAAAAAATAAAAACTGCTTTTATTTTAGCCAAAATAAAACAAACAAGACTTTCTCAAGAAGAAAAAAATATTATCGGACATACTGTGAAAATTTAGAAAACATAATTTAGAAAATATTTTTAAAAAATTCCAAGGAGGCTAATAATTCTGACTTCAACTATACATGTCAACTTACACTAACCCTTGAGGCTCTATTTTAATGGTGTAGGTGCAAAGTCTGAAGCTCAGGGCGCAAAAGCATTAAGGGCTTGTCAGAATCCACTTGCTGTTTTAAAACTTGCTGTTTTAAAGATGGAAAAAATACGCTCTGCGCTGCAGCTCATGGTCTAACAGGGCTGAGCTTATTCTCCTAATGAGTTATGGGTGTGTTTTGAGCATTAAACAATCAGAGTCTCATCTCCCATTCCCTTTAAAATGGCGCATTTGCTATTTACATGGAGGACTTTGTAAGTGTAAAAACTGAACACTTCACCAGCGAGAAAACAGACCATCTGCAGTTTAAAAATTAAAAATGAGCCTCCTCCATTTGGTCTTTACTTTTACTTTCTCTCTTTTGTGGATAAGGAAACGTGTTGGATGCACTCACTAAAGACAACCATAAGCTTACATAATTAATTTTGCTTGGGAAAATGGGAGAATTGAGGTTGCATTGATCTGAAAATAGCAACATGTCATGGAAACATGTCTTATGCCTTATTGAGCCCTATACCTAACCCCAACCTAACAGTCTACTTAAAATCTAATGAGAATTATTTGGCATGTAGATGCAGTGTAACTTAAATAAAAAAAATGTGTTAAAATGACCATCAAAATGTCATATTGTGTATATTATTGATAACAAATTTCTTCTCATGTGTTTGTATACCAATTCTGACTCTTTTTGTACAAAACTGCTAATTTGCATATTGGAGTATTGAGTTTTTCCAGAGTTCAGATTTGAGGGTTAACATTAAAATTTTAAGATTTATAGCAGTTTTTAACTTTACCCTCAGGTATTTAAAAGTTTCATTCCCAAACTTCAGAATTACATTTATCTCATGCTATTCTTCCCCTATAGATTGCCAAAGTTTTAACCTAAGACGTTTGACTTTTTTTTTTGCAATTCTGAGTTTACATTCCACTAGTTTGTTTTCTCTGAATTACAAATATACAGTGCTCAGCATATATAAGTACACCCCCCACAAATCTATCTTTTAAATTAATATTTTCTATAGGATGTTTTTACCATATTATATTTGTGCATATAGATTAGATTATTCAGTAATGAAGCCAAATCTAGAGCTTATCTAACAAAATAACTTACAATATTGGTTTAAAGTTAGTAGCCCAAATTAGGTATAGAAAATTATTAAATGAAATTTTAAAAATTAGCAAAAATTTAGAGAAACAAAAATATATAGAATTTTGTTAATGTTGTTGTTATTTATTTCTTTTTTGAATGAATTTACATGTATTATCTTTCCATTCTAAAGATGTTTTGTGACCACAATATTATTTTAATAAATATATCTGTAAAGACTAAGCAGAAAAGAAAATGAATAAATGAAAACATCTGTTTAATAAATCTGTTTCGTTCAAATGCACCAATATATATTACTAATATTCACTGGGAAACAAATGAAAATATTCATTTTTAAAATGGTGTTTACTCATTTATGCTGAGCACCTACATACATACATAATTAGAAATTAAGATTTTAAACCTTTTTAAAACACAATTATGCTTAAAAGACTAAAAATGCCATGAGTAACTGCATACCTAACTGAGGTTGCTTCAAACACATAACAGGAGTCCTACATATTAAAACATTTCTTTTTTAGCTATAATTGATCTCCATACCGCATATATTTACATGTTTGGTGGGAATATGCCACGGGTAGATGTACAAAAGCAGGGTAATGTAAATGTGCTGTGTGTGTGTGTGTGTATGTGTGTGTGTGCTTGCGTGCGTGCGTGCCAGAAGTTGCCTGCTCTTGTATCGTAAGTTTTATTTCTGTGTGGTGATGTACTTCCAACTAAAATGGAAATATTAAGTAGGGCATATATAAGGGTATAAACCTTTTATATATACAGTATATTTATATAAATATATATGTATTTGAAGCTGAAACTACACAGACACATACTAAGAACACCAAAGATGTATTTAACATCTTGTAAAAAAGGGGCAAAATGGGTGTAAAATATGTATATACATGTATGTGTGTATATATGCTTTTTATTTGTTTGTTCCAGGATTGGCCTCCCAACTTATATGTTACTTCACCAACTGGTCTCAGTACAGACCTGATGTTGGCAAGTACATGCCATCCAATGTGGATCCACATCTGTGCACTCATTTAATTTATGCCTTTTCCATTATTAATAATGAAAATAAACTGACAACCTACGAATGGAATGATGAAACTCTCTACCAGTCCTTTAATGGCCTAAAACAAAGGTGCGCTTATGTTTTTTCCATGCATATATTTGTTTAATCTACTATGTAATGTAATCCTAAAAGTCACTATTTGCTCTAGAGTATTATAGTGAAGAATAATGCTAAATGTTTAACTTAACAGTAACTCCAACCTGAAAACTCTGTTGGCTGTTGGTGGATGGGAATTCGGCTCAGCTCAGTAAGTTCTGCTGTATTTTGATAGATCAGAATGTGTTACAGATATAACCCTCGTTCCACAAAGAAGGAAATGGAAATGTTATGTTGGTACAACAATACTCAACAACAATTGGGTTATTGGCAGATAACTATTCACTCTAAGAAAGAGGTCTGACTCAAAAGCTGCGGTCACACTGGGCTTTTCCTCCCATAGACTTTCATTCATACGCAAGCGAATGCGTCAGACCGGAAACACAGGGTCATGGTCTAGTTTTGCAGGTTGCTGTGGTGCAAAGTTCAAGCTTGGTGAACTCTGACCTGCGAAATCGCATCACTTGACTGCGTGAGACCAATCGAGGATCAAAACATGACATCTCTGGACAGAGATTTAAAACATGGAGCAATCGCTCGCTTTTTAAATGTCTAATCATGTTGTTTAATCCCGCCCCTTTTCGCAGCTCCGCACAGCAGAAACTCTAGTGTGACCGTAGCTTAAAATGTATAAACAATGGCCAATAAATTGCCTATGGAATTGGCAAATGTAGCTTCACAAGTGCAGCCACTCTGTTATTAGGGGAGTATATAAGGCGCAGCGGCAGAGTAGCACGTCAGGCTACAGCTAAGGAGCCAAGCGCAACTTAACAATCAGCTGGTGATTTGGCTACTGTGGCAACAAGAGATAACATCTGTAACTGAGACATTCCAATTCAGTTGGTCACTACAAGTTATGTTGAAACAACAGATTGGGGAATGTATTTAAAGTGCCACAGCAGCTGAATCTGTAACACATTTAGGGCAATGTGTGCCAAGCAGGAAGCGTGAGGATAAAAACACCACCTAAGGTGTAACCATCCAATGTGTGCCAAGCAGGAAGCGTGAGCATAAAAACACCACCAAATGTGCAACAATCCAATGTCACCAGGCTCCAATTAATGAAATATGGAAATATATTTACAATTTAGGAAGCATTTTAATTTGATTTTAGCCAGCTAATTTAAGGCTAGGTGTTTTAGTTGTACGACTGCGGAGGCCACTCACTTCCCAAAATTGCCCAGACTAAATGACAAATATGCACATATGGGCTAGCCCTATCCAGGGGGAGCACTACATATGAGTAAGATGGTTGGCTGGTAGGGAAGACAGGTTCACCTATGGAGGGGGATCTCACCATGACTGACTGATATATTTGGCATTACTAAGTGGGGATCACGCATAGCTGGAACAGTTTGACCAACTGGGAATGCCCAGTCCTTGTGAGGAGACACCCGGTAGCTCCCACTCAGATTCTCTTACCTGGCCGAGTGGTCGCTGATTTGCAATCTCATCTTATCAACAGGCATGCTCTTGCAGTGAGGGCATGAATTGCTCACTTCTTCAACATGCTGCACCCCAGTCATGTTATATAGTGCTCATGTCTGGAGTCAGAAAACTACCACATCCAGCAGTTGGAATAACATTGAAAGACATTATTTAGCTCTCTAAGGAAATCTGCTTTCTTTTACTGCTCTTTTTGTAATTCAGTGAAGGACCCAGGGACTGAGAAAACATTCAGACTTGACCGCTGCTGAATGCTTGCAAAAACAGCTCTTCAGACATGTGAAGGCTCTTAAGCAAATTCTGATGTGCTGCTCTGCATGTGTGCCTGAAATACTTCTCTAATGACAGATTGGCTGCACCGCTGGAGCTGCACTCACCAATTCCATATGTATTTTTTATGCATTTCAGAGTAATTGTTTATCTGGTGAAAATCTTTTGTTCCAGCATAATGCTGCGGTCACACTAGAGTTTGAGCATGTGAAATTCTGTAGTACGTCTCTGCGAAAAGGTGTGGGATTAAACAAGAATATTAGACATTTTAAAAAAAAGCTAGCGATTGGTCCATATTTAAAATTTCTGTACAGAGAGGTCATGTTTTGGTCCTCGGTTGGTCTCACGCAGTCAAGTGATGCAATTTTGCTGGTCAAAGTTCATTAAGCTTGAACTTTGCAATGCATTGAACTGCAAAACTTGTCGCATGAGCTTGCATTTCTGGTCTGACGCATTCGCGTATGTATGAATCTAAGTCTACAGGGAGAAAAGTATAGAGTGACCGGCGACCGCAGCTTAACTTGTAGTAACCAACTGAAGCAGAACTGTGTTTCTTTCACCTTCATGAAGCTTCTCTCCTCATTGTGATCTCAGGTTTAGCAGCATGGTCTCCATGCCACAAAACAGACAGACCTTTATTCAGTCCAGTATCACATTTCTGAGGACCCATGGATTTGACGGTCTGGATCTGGACTGGGAGTATCCTGGTTCTCGTGGAAGTCCTCCAGAAGACAAGCAGAGATTCACTTTGCTCTGTAAGGTACATGAACATTTATGGCTTCTTTGTCACAATGTTTTATATCAAAACCAACGATATTCTCAGTCATAGAAATAAGGTTTTGGAGAAAAACAATTTTCCCCTACTCTTACAGAGAGGAAACACTGAGAAGGAAGAAGCGCTACAATAAATCTGTATCTCATCAGTTTAACATTGTAGTTTATCAGTTTAGCATGTTTTAGCATACAGATAAGAAAAAGAAGAGGACCTAGAACAGAGCCTTGAGGTACACCAGAACAGATTAGACAGAGACAATTACATTATCTACATATATTAAGTACATTTTACTTCAAATCCTTAAATTCTCTTTGACTAAGGAAAGAAAGTCGTGTACATTTCAGATGGCCTTGTGGGTGAAAACAAAAATCAGGAACAGTTCAATTAAGTGACAATGAATTACATTTTTTATTGTTTTATTGTAATAACAACAGGACTTACACGGCATGACCTCCACAAGATTCTTTCAAACCTGACATTGATATTCTTCTGCAGTTTGACTGAACATGATCAGAGTCAAATTTATTTGATTAGTGTTTCAGAAATAACAAAAACGGTTTCTTATTAATTTTATGTCATGACAATTATTTTAAATTTTAAACACTCTAATGCTTTGATTGTATTCCAGGTTTATCCTAAATTCTAAATCTAAAATTTTTGACAAGTAAGAAGATTTTTCATAGAACATGAACTAGAAAATCAGACCTTAATGTTTTACCTAATGACCTACATATGTGATCGTAACAGGAGCTTGTAGAAGCTTATCAGGCAGAGAGTGCAGCCACTGGACGCCCCAGACTCATGCTCACTGCTGCAGTGGCTGCTGTGAAAGGAATCATTGACGCTGGTTATGAAATTGCAGAAATTGCCAAGTATGTGTTCTTGAAGGGTTTATGTTCATAATGAATCATGGATTGGGTTAATTGACAAAGTCTCTTAAAATGCTAATCAAATGATGATTCAGCTGCTTTTAACAAACCAAACCCAATCTGACTGAAACTGATATTTTCCTCTGGTGATTCAGGTATTTGGACTTCATCAATATCATGACCTATGATTTCCACGGCTCACAGGACAACATCACTGGACACAATAGTCCTCTGTACAGAGACTCTGGAGACACAGGAGACCAAATCTACTACAATACTGTAAGAGGAACAGATTTTACTGTTTTATGAAAATACTGTATAACAGCATGTACAAAACAAAAACATTTATTTGACAAATATATCTTTTGAAAAAATTATAAAAGTCTTAACTTTTTATAGATGTCTTGACATTCATACTATATAAAGATGTACCTTTATTAACTGTGATGTTTAAATAAAATTTTGGTAGCTATTCAGATATCTTCAATGCAACACTTGAGTCACTGCAGGTTAGAATAGTCTAGAAACACAACAGCAAATAATTAAATGCTCATGACAATGCAGGACTTTGCAATGAACTACTGGCGAGATCAGGGCGCTCCTGTGGAGAAGCTCAGGATGGGCTTTGCTGCGTATGGAAGAACGTTTCGCCTGTCGTCTGCGGACAATGGAGTTGGAGCTCCAGCTAGTGGTGCTGCTTTAGCTGGAACATACACCAGAGAAGCTGGATTCTGGTCCTATTATGAGGTCTAATCTTCAGCCTTAAAGCATAATTTTTATTGTGGAAATACAATCAGAAGATTTCCTGACAGATCGTCTCCCAACAGATCTGTACTTTTCTACAAGGAGCCATTGTGCAACAGATTGTTGATCAGAAAGTTCCTTATGCAACAAAAGGACAGGAGTGGGTGGGATTTGATGACCAGGAAAGCTATGAGACTAAGGTGAGTATGCTAAAGTATAAAACATAAATGTATTTCTCATGCTCTCGGTAACTAGGTCTGGTCTGTTTTAGGTGGACTACCTGAAGGAGAAAGGCTTTGGAGGAGCTTTTGTCTGGTCTCTGGATCTTGATGACTTCAGTGGTCAGTTCTGTGGGCAGGGCAAATACCCTCTTATTGGACACCTCCACACGCTGCTTAATATCAGCAACACTGGTAAAAACATCTCTGTGAAGCCCATTATGATGATATTAGTGCCATTAAATCATTGTGATTGACCAGAACCAATTATTTCTGCAAACCATCCAAGCTGATTAATACTTTTAAGAGAAAATATAAAATTCTAATTTTTTCCTGCAGATTTCCCATCTCTCCCCCCAAGCACAACAGATAAGGCCAGTGGGACCTCTACAACAGCATCTGCTGCTGTACCTCATACCACAATACCTCCTGTTGTACCGACAGCTCCCTCAGGATCAGACTTCTGTGCAAGCAGATCAGAGGGCATCTATGCGAATCCAGCTGATCCCAAAACATTCATTCAGTGTGCCAATGGCAGGACCTTCATACAGAATTGTCCTGCAACAACAGTTTTTGATCCTGACTGCACATGCTGTAACTGGCCTAAGAAATAAGCACACTAATATCACTGATTATCACAAAGCATAATCATTAGTAGCCCACAGTCAGACACAGCACTTTTTTCAAATTATACTTCATTTGGTTCGAAATACAAAGGGGTTTGATGCATGTGAATCACAACAGATTTTGTATTTCACTTAGTATAAATCTGTGTGCTATACGTTTTAACCCACATAAACATCATTGTATTCATTCATGCTACAGTTGAGTTTGTTTTAAAGAACTGCATTGCTATTATTGGATTTATGTTGATGTAATTAATTTTTGCAATGCCGCTTCTGTCCTTTTTGTGTGCAAAGGGGATGTTCACTGATGTTATAGCAACCTTTACATATTTAAAATGTGTGGTTACCCCTAAATTTATGAATAAAAATATGTTTACTGCAAGTATATCTGTTATTTTAGGGTGATAAATAAAAAACATGACACGATCCTTAGATGATAAATGTACAGCATGTAATATAAACCTTATTTCAGGGATAATAATTAATATTAAATTATGTTTTACTCATAAATGTAAGAATTTATTTATGCCTGAAATCATTTACAGACATCTATTTAGACTACAATAAAACAACCTAAAACCAATGACACCAATAAGATTTCAATATAATGATAAACATCCAACTTCTTTCATAGTTGTTTATGTTCCAGACATGGTTTTTTAAGTGCAGAGACATTTAATTTGGTGTTTGTGTGTTTGGTGTTTCTCCAGTTTTTTAAAAAGACTTAATTGTTCAAATAATAAGCTTGGTATGGCTATTGGTGTACTGCATTATACTTACACATATTCATTCTATTCTAGGATTTTGGGCAAGAGACAACTAATCCATTGTATTTTGTGTGAGTTGTTTTGAGAAATGAGCCGTTTTGCATATCTCAATAATGATTCGAGAAATGTACCGAAGCGACTGAGAATAATAAAATATTGCATTCTCCTAAGGCCCACATGGTCATCTATGGAATAAAAAGGTTATTGCAACATTTTTAATCTTTAAGTTCTAAATAATAAAATCACAATTCTAACTTCATATCTTGCAATTCTGATAAATAAAGTCTCAATTTTGTGATATAAACTCATGTGAAATAGAATTGTCACTTTATAACTCAAAATTGCGACTTTAAATTCTGAGATTAAAGTCGCAATAACCTTTTTATTTCTTATTTAGAGGCAGAAGCCGGCTTTCATACACACCAATCCCATAATTTCATGATTAAACAATTGACTTTTTTCTTTTATGGTTTTTTTTTTACCCATCAAATTAAAAAAGGCTAGAGAGATTAAAACTACACCATGGTATAATAGTCATACTTGCACTCTCAAAACAGCAACCCGTGCCCTGGAACGTAAATGGAAAAAAAACTAATTTAGAGGTCTTTAGAATTGCGTACAAAGACAGTATGTCCAGCTATAGGAGGGCTCTAAAATCAGCCAGGGCTGAGCATCCCCGCAAACTGATAGAAAATAATCATAACAATCCTAGATTTTTATTTAACACAATTGCTAAATTAGCAAATAATCGGTCATCCTTGAAACAAAATGTTCCACCGCAAATTAGTAGTGATGACTTTTTTTTTTGTGGTAAAATAGAAGGCTTTAGACAGAAAATAGAAAATGTTAAACTTTCTGCACCAGCTTATACTCCAAATCCTGTAAATATTTCACTGAATCATAATAATAACCTACACTGCTTCAAAATCATAGAACAGGAAGAGCTAGATAAAATTATAAATAAATAGCTCTAAACCAGCTATGTGTATGCTGTACTCAATTCCAACAAAATTACTGAAAGAATTGCTGCTACCTGCTATAGGAGAACCTCTTCTTAACATTATCAACTCTTCTTTATCTATAGGCCATGTTCCAAACTCTTACAAGCTAGCTGTTATTAAGCCTATTATTAAGAAACCACAACTGGACCCCAACAACTTAGCTAACTATAGGCCTATTTCAAATCTTCCATTTATGTCTAAAATACTAGAAAAAGTTGTTTCTACTCAATTTTGCTCCTTTCTGCAGACAAACAATATTTTTGAAGTGCTTCAGTCAGGGTACAGGGCTCATCGCAGTACAGAAACTGCATTAGTGAAAATAACCAATGATTTACTCTTAGCTGCTGACCAAGGGTGCATCTCGCTATTAGTTGTACTTGATCTTCGTGCGGCATTTGACACCATTGACAACAATATCCTCATAAATCGCTTAAAGTCTACAGGTGTCCAGGGACAAGCTCTACAATGGTTTAAGTCATACTTATTTTACCGTTACCAGTTTGTTAATATTAATGGACAGCCTTCACAAGTCAGCCCAGTAAAGTATGGGGTGCCTCAAGGATCAGTTTTAGGCCCTTTGCTGTTTACAATTTACATGCTGCCAGTGGAAGACATTATTATAAGACATGGAATCAGCTTTCATTGCTATGCAGATGATACTCAATTATATATTTCAACTAAACCTGATGAGATGTCTGAACTGTCTAAGCTAACTGAGTGTTTTAGAATTGTTAAGACTGGATGACCAACAGTTTTCTTCTCTTACACAGCAGATCTCGTAACTCAATCTACAATTAGAGGGATACAAAGTTAGCGTTAGCTCTACTATAAAAGATCTGGGTGTCATAATAGACAGCAATCTAACTTTTGAAAACCATGTATCCCATGTCACAAAAACTGCCTTCTTTCATCTGAGAAATATCGCTAAATTACGAAGTATGCTATCAATCTCTGATGCAGAAAAGCTAGTCCACGCTTTTATGACTTCTAGGCTGGATTACTGTAATGCTCTGTTTGCTGGCTGCCCAGCATCCTCTATTAACAAACCTCAATTAGTACAAAATGCAGCAGCCAGAGTTCTTACCAGGTCTAGAAAATATGACCATATCAACCCAATTTTATCCTCCTTACACTGGCTGCCTGTTAAGTTTCATATTGAATTTAAAATATTACTTCTCACCTATAAAGCTCTAAATAATCTAGCTCCTGTTTATCTAACCAACCCTCTGTCTCGCTACAATCCAGCTTGCTCTTTAAGATTTCAAAACTCAGGGCTTCTGGTAGTACCTAGAAAAGCAAAGTCAAGTAAAGGAGGTCGAGCCTTCTCATTTATGGCTCCTAAACTCTGGAATATCCTTCCTGATAATGTCCGAGGCTCAGACACACTTTCTCAGTTCAAAACTAGATTAAAGACCTATCTGTTTAGTAAAGCATACACTCAATGCATCACTTAACGGGTTTCCACAAAAGTTTCTGCATCTTGTTTATATACATTGAACAGCAGCTACGCTAATTATTCTCTTTATTCTCCATTTCCACCTGGGGATACTCATGCCGAGGTCCTCAAATTATGCGGTGTCACTGATTGGATCCAAGAGAAGCGACGAGATGATCCCAAGGTGTTCATATCCGGGACCAGGCCGTATCCTGAGCTGCTGCTGCGCTTTTGGTCATAGGGGAGTGGAGAGCATGAGACTGATTCCAGTGATGCTCCAGGGACAGACGAGTCTTCGCTCAGGTCAGCTTCCAGCCTCCACCGCTGAGACTGCAGCTCTGCACAAGACTTTTGGCTAGCGGAGAAATTAAAATGGTCGTGCCCAACTGAGTCTGGTTTCTCTCAAGATTTTTTTTCTTCACTCTCCTATTGGTGGTTTTTTTCCCTCTCCGCTGTCGCCACTGGCTTGCATGGTTCAGGATCTGTAAAGCTAGGCATCAATGAATTTGCTCTTCAGTGTTTGGACTCTCAGTAATGATTTCAAACCACACTGAACTGAACTAAACTGAACTGAACTTAAACACTAAAACTGAACTACCCTGATCCAGTTACTATGACCATTTATGTGAAGCTGCTTTGACACAATCTACATTGTAAAAGCGCTATACAAATAAAGCTGAATTGAATTGAATAGAGTGTATCATGTGTGTATAAGTATAGAGTGTGCATATGTATAAATTTTATCATGTATGTACATGTATATGTGTAGAGTGTATCAAGTGTGCATATGTATGGCATGTATCATGTCTGTATATGTAAAGGGTGAATATGTATATAGCTGTCTTTCATATCTATGGAATGTATCAGGTGTGTATATGTATAGAGTGTATCAAGTGTGCATATGTATGGCATGTATCATGTCTGTATATGTAAAGGGTGAATATGTATATAGCTGTCTTTCATATCTATGGAATGTATCAGGTGTGTATATGTATAGAGTGTATCAAGTGTGCATATGTATGGCATGTATCATGTCTGCATATGTAAAGGATGTATATGTATATAGCTGTCGTACACTAGGTTCCTCAACTTCCAGTAGCTCAGTGGTTATGTCGTTCAACTCCCATGCCAGAGACCGAGTTCTATCCCAGACCCTAACAGGAGTGTATTGTGTCTGTATATGTATATAGAGTGTATCGTGTGTGTGGAATGTGTATAGTGTATTTGAATGGAGATCCCAGACCCTGACAGGAGTGTATCATGTCCTTATATGTATAGTGTGTATATGTATAGAGTGTATCATGTGTATATGTATAGTGTGCATATGTATGGAATGTATAGAGTGTACTAAATGTAAATATGTACAGAGTGTATCATATTTGTATATGTATGGCATGTATCATGTCTGTATATGTACATGGTGTATATGTCAAGTTTATTCATAAACTAATTTCGAGAGGAGCACGTGATTATGATTGAACACGGCTGGTTCTGCATTAGCATGCATGATCCACCAATCAGGCCATTCCTAACCCACTATAAAGAGCCAGGGTTTTTTCACTACAGTCATCTTCGATTTGAAGAATCCCCCCTTCCACCCCTACCTTTTCACCTTTCCCTCCATAGGGCAGCACGGTGGCCCAGTGACTAGCACTGTCGCCTCAAGAACACCGGTTCTAGTCCTTTAACAGGCCGGTGGTCGTTTCTGTGTGTAGTTTGCATGTTCTTCCTGTGCTTGCGTGGGTTTTCCCCGGGTCCTCAGGTTTCCTCCCACATTTCAAAAACATGCACAACAAGTAAATTGATAAATCTAAATTTTGCAATACAGGTAATCTCATAATGCAGCATATCTTTTAATAGCATTTAATTTTTAGTCATCGGCTCTTATCAAGGGGGAGTTGTCAAGATTTACCTGAGCTCAAGGCTCCCCACTCGCCCTCCAAACGGGAGGGAGCCCAGGGCTCAAGAACCTTCAATGTCCTTAAGACTGATCCATGATTGTTCCTCCGGGCCGTACCCCTCCAAGACGATCAGATATTGGAGTTGTCTGTACTTCAGGTTCTCATGGATTTGATAAGCCTCCTCTCCATCGATGACGATTGGTGGGGAACCCTGATCACCGGCTGCCACCTCCCTATCCACCTTGGCTCGACCAGCAGCAGGCTTGAGCAGTGACACA